CACAGTTGGTAAAGCTTTTGTGGCACAAGCTCGAGGGACTGAGTTTGTATTCCCTCTGCTCATGTTGTTAAAGAGCTAGCATGCTGCCCAGGCCTGTAAGCCCAGCACTGAGAAGGCAGAAACAGAGATCTCCAGAGCTCAATGGCCAGCCATTCCAGCTAGATTGGCGATCTGCAGGTCAGTGGCACATTCTATGCACCCAAAAAGTGTAACTTGAACTATTTCAAAAATTTTAAGACACATACAAAAGAAGAGAGCAATGTTTTCTTAGGGCAAGAGCCTGCATATAGCTTTATCCCTAGGCTACATTTGGCCGAGTGAACATACTCATTGCTTTCGCTCATTCACCTAATGCATATTTGTGAGCACATACTGTATGCAAGACATTGCAGGTGCTAAGGAGAAAGTAGCATTGCATTTGAGGGGAGGCCTGAAAAAAAAATGGAGGAATCATCCGTACTGTAGCTGAAGCTATAGTAAGGGTCACTGGCCTGAGATAGGTGTGTGCTTGGATGGTCAAAGAACACAATGAAGATGAAGAGGACTGATCCCTTCTAAGCGCTTGGGCCAGCTTCTCATATATGGCTAGTGTTTAATTATTATTATTCCCAAAAGTCTGAACAGGATGGAGTGGAGCGGAGCTACATTTTTTTAGTGCTGGAAGACTACAGACAAGCTGGGGAAACAAATCCATAAAGGTGAGTGGCAGGAAGGCGCATTCTGCGGGGAAGACTTCTTAAAGCAGAGACAGCCATTTGATGGCAATGTAGAACAGGGAAAGCTGGATTTCACTAAAAGTTAGTGAAGCTCAAAGAGAAGGCACTGCTCTAGAAATGGGCAAGAATGTAAGACAAGTATCTGGGACAGCCAAAGACTAGTGTGGAAGTAGCAGAGGCTAGGAATTTCTACTGTTTTAAATCCACCATACTGTATATTTATATTTTAATGTCAGTGGGCCAAGAAACATTATATATAACACATAGAGGGAATACTATATATATATATATATATATATATATATAATGTATTATAATATATATATAATATAAAATATAATTTAATATATAATATATATTATAATATATAGAATAGAATGGTAGAAGTCTTAGTTAGGGTTAATGAAATAACATGACCAAAAGAAAGCTGGGGAGGGAAGGATTTATTTGGCTTACCCTTCCACATCGCCATTTATCGTTGAAAGAAGTCAGGACAGAAACTCAAAGAGGATGATGCAGAGGCCATGGAGAAATACTGGCTTGCTCTGCCTGCTTTCTTATAAAACCCAGGACCACCAGCCCAGGGATGGCACCACACACAATCGGTTGGACCCTCCCACATCAATCACAAATTAAGAAAATGCCCTACAGACTTGCCAACAGCCGCATCTTGAGGAGACATTTTCTTCCTCTCCGACTCTAGTGTGTGTCAAGTTGACATAAAACTATCCAGCACACCTGTTTAGGGTCACTCACAAGGGTATAACAGCACCTATATAACAAAACTTCATATACTACAGGTGTGGTGGGTGAAGGCAGAGGCATGACTCAGGTGAAAAATGCTTGCGATGAAGATGAAGGCTTGCCCCAGCTAGACCACATGGACTTGAGGCTGTAAGTAAAGAGCCATCCCAGTACACAAGTACAGCTGATTAGAAAACTGAGAAAGATTAGTGGCCTAACAGAAAGGTTAATTAATAATTTATAAAGAAATAATACTTTGATTATATGACCAAAGAGAAGTAAATGAAGGCAAGGAAGGTTTAGAGTAAAGGAGAGAGAGAAAGCCATTTGCTGATGATACGCGTTAAGTACAGAGAGAAGAAATATCTTTACCTACCAACCAATAATGAAGTTTTCTGGTTCTGGACACATTCAGATTTTTGCTATGGGGACCCAGCTTTGCTAGCTACAACGTTCGTGCTGGAAAAAAGAATACTAAAAAAGAAGGAAAAAAAATCTTATTATGTTTTAAGTATGTTTACAGTTTTGTGCTGGGCTGCATTCAGAGCTGTCCTCAGCAGTGACAGCTATGGGTTGGGCATATTGGAAAGAGCCACAAATGAGGAGGCAGCATGTGTCAATCAGGGGATGCGGAATACATGCGACGGTTACCACCCTGTACTTATAAAAATGTAAGAATCCGAGGGGAAGTGACTGTGACTCAGAGTTGAGAAGACTGGATTCACTTTTAGCAAGTTTGAAAATCGTGGTCAATAAAAAAACATTAAATGCTAGGAATAAGTTGTGAGCATGCTACGTCAGAACTAGAGAGGAACATATCTTCTGCGATGCCAAATTTGAATAACCATAAACTTGGTATAGCAGATTCACTGGCAAGAAATCGCCAAGTAGTCCTATGTTCCTTGACAGCAGGCTGAACAAAACCCAGGTTATTTTTATTCCAGTCTTAACTGCTCATATTAACTCAGAGAGTCACTCTTTACGTGGCAAACACAACCCTCTACTATGTCTATGTGACATAGATGTGTATTATGTAGGTGACAGAAGGTACAGGGGGCTACAAAAAGGCTACAAAGAAGCTACAGCAGAATTCAAAGATTTTCAAAGGGGCTGGAGAAGCAGAATGTGGGGATTTGAGAGTCTCTGGGAGAGTAAGATAACCAGTCAGGGTTGAAGTACAGAAGCATCTCTCGGAGGCTGGAGAGGGTGACGGGCAGGTCTGGGTGCAAGTGAACGAATGGGTGGACAGATGGCAGGCAGTTCCAGATAGATGGATGGGGGTTGGCAGACCTGAACAGCAGGGACCAAGCTGAAGAAGCTTCTGGGACAGTTTTGAGTTCTCTGCCTGTTGGTCGGCTGTCACCAACACCAGGTGTCAGGTGACTGGGCTGTTGCCAGCCTTGTGTCTGGTGTTCCTTTTTACAGGAACCAGGTGAAGGAGCTGCACTCTTCTATATTGGACCTGGCTTTCTTTATAAGATTTTAATGTGCCCTTATGTTCCCATAGTGCTGTTTACTTGGATGAGTTTCTACTTCTAGGGATAAGTTATTAGTCCAGAGCTCATGGGTCACAGCAAACAGACGAGAAGATAGCATGTCCACCAAGAAACAGAACTATCTTCCATCCTGATAAGTGGCCAGAGGCTGCTTGAAAAGCCAAACAAACAAACAAACAAACAAAAAAAAACAAAAACACTGTTGGTTACACAATACAGTATAACTTCGAGCAGGGCCGGGCCTAAGCTCAAGAAAAGTACTGAAAACATCACAAACTAAAGTAAGGCAGACCAGGAAGATAGGGAAATCACAGTGACCAAAAGAAAGGCATTGGAGGAAAGGGACCCTTTATTCCAGGGGTCTGGTCTCCCCCCCACCCCCAGGAACACCAGAAACTTCAGCTACTCCTGACAATCTACGTTTTCCAAAGACATTTTGTCAATGAGAGCAGAGAAACTGTGCTGAGGCCAAAATGATGCACTTACGACCTTGTGTTTCTAGCACTCCCCAGTCATTTCCAAATCTAAACGTTATCTCATAAACCTCTGTTACAACTTTGATTTTGGAATTGCATAGTAAAGAATATATATGTGAATATATGTATGTATGTATGCAAAGAAACCCAAGTCCAGGGCTCCTTTGAGAAGCTCATGTCAGTGTCAGTGGGATTTACTTGTACTCTCTGGATGCACCCTTGTTGTTCTTTTTAATAAATCCAACCTTGCTTCTTAATTCGGCTGGCCCGAATTTCTTTTCTTTGTCCTCGGCTACAAATCTCAGTTCTGCCCAAACTGAAAGACTTTTCAAGCCCCTGGGGAGGAAGGATGGAAGCCTTGCCCCTGTCCTTATCGTTGGTGACATAAAGTAACAGTATCCTAAAGCGTTATGTTTAGCAGTTCTCCTGGAGGAGCTAGCTCCTCGCAGGTAGTGAGTGCAAACTGCACACGTGTCGAGGTGAGGGGGAGCTGGGCTTAAAAGGAAGCTACAGGGTGAAAACGGCAGAGCCTGCGGCGGTAAGAGGGCTTGTCGTTGGATATGACATAACCACACTAAATACACAGAGGAAGGATGGATCCTGGCCAGCGAGAAGAGCAAACTGCTCCCTGCCTACCCTGAAGCCCCTGAGGAGCAGGTAAGGCACAGATCTCCTCTTTCGTGTATTTTTACTCCCAATGAAGCTAATGGTAACGGACCCTCCACCTTGTTCAGGAAGGTGGCCCCAGCTCATCCCGCAGGCAGACAACGGCTTCATAAAAGCAACCGTGGCTACTTCTTGGTATCTGTGAGAACAGAGGGGGCTTGGTATAAGGAACAGGGGTCCCTACCCGGGCGGCTAGTGCTTCGCTGGCATGAGATGAGGAAGTCTCGGGTTGACACTTGACCGCCACCGAGTGGCCAGCATGTTAGGGGTCAGTCGGGCACCACCAGATGGAGGAAGTCCTGTTACATCCAAACACACGCGTCAGTCAGCATCCCAGAAAATGTAGGAACCTGATACGCCCTGGGAAAAACACACATTGACTCCAGAACTAAAAGTTGAAAATCACGTTGTACTTAAAAATACCATTTCTACCCTGACAAGGTATAGGACTATCATCCAAGCCTAAACACCGAACTGGATATACCATAGGAAGACGCCAAACATACTAAAGAAAGACTTTGCGCAGAGAAATCTCTACCAGCCTCAGAAACACAAACAGATCACGCAAGATCCCCGGTCGCTTTATTAATTAGATTCCATTAGCTACATCGGGGAAAGTGTCCTCTCAAACACGACTCCGCAGGGATCCAACTGTGCGCTACACAGCCATAAACACGCTTATAAGGAGACCTTACCTGAACGCGTAGGGACAGGTCTATGTAAATGCCTCACTGAGGATTCCAGCGCCTTTCTCTAAAACCCTGGGATGCTTGGAAGCGCCTCCTGTTTCGCAACCCCTCCAGCGGGCCTGCCCAATTCCGCCCACCGGGCTGATTGGCCTGCGGGGCGGCAGGGCGGTGTCCGGCTTCTAATTTACTCCCCGGGCCCAGAGGAAGCCCCTGGCTCTTTCCCGCAGCTGCTCTTGAAGCTCAGAGAGGCTGAGGCCACTGCTCGCATCCTCCCAGGCTCCACTACACTCCGAGGCGCCTCTTCCGAATTCCACTTCTTGGGAAGCCGGAGGTAGAGACGCGGGAGGGCAGTTCCCAGGAAGGGTCGGGTGCTCCGGATGCCTGAGTCTGGTCCGGGTGGCAGGGGCCTCGGAAGGCCCTGACGACCGAGTGGACGCAGCCCCAAGTCGCTCGGGGAGCAGCATCCAAGCAGAGTTTTTGGTGACAGACCCGCGCGGCGGAAGGACCCTGCCGCCCGGTTCCCAGCCGCGGGCGGGTGGAGGAGCGCGCTGGGGCGGAGGGGACCGAGCAGGACGGGACGGCCGCATCCAGAGCCGAGCACCGGGTCCACGTGGGTGACCCCGGAGCTCCCCGGGATGCCGGGGCTGAGTTAACCATCCGGCCCCAGCCCCGGGAGCATCAGGCCCCTCCTCACCACTGGGCTCTGCGGGGCAGTGAGGTCTGCCTAGGCTCTTGGCCCCGCGGCCATGTATTTAGCTGAACTGTGTTTTTTCCCCAGGTGGAGATGGACCTTGAAGAGGGCCTTAACGGAAGAGCAGACAAGAACTCGAAGATGGGCAAAAAGAGGTAGCTAGATGGTTTCACTTCCATACTTCACGCGCCTTGTACGTTTGAACAATTGGGTTGTAGCCTCCAGCAGCGCACTGAATGATTACTGGTTGTTATTTCAACCTTCAGAACTGTAAGCCAGCCCTTGGAAGGAGCTCCCCTGCTTGGAGCAGTCCTTCAGATGTGTGTGACAGAAAGAGGCTCCTGTTCAGCTCTAGGCCGGCCATTGCTCACATCCGTTTAGTGACCTCAGCTTTATGAGCACTGTTGATCGCTCACGCACCTGAGCCATATGCTTCCTGGGCTCTCAGCTGTGGTCCATGATCATCTGATAAACAACTTCACAAACACAGAATGTGGCATGACAGGTGAAACTGAACAACTGCATTCAGGTCATAGCTGGCCACCGTGCTGCACACCTGTAATCCCAGTACTCGGAGTGGCAGAGGCAGGCAGATCTCTGTGAGTTCGAGGCCAGCTTGATCTGCAAAGCATATCCAGGGAAGTCATGGCTACACAGAGAAACCCTGCCTCGAAATAAAATAAAATAAAATAAAATAAAATAAAATAAAATAAAATAAAATAAAATAAAATAAAACAAAACAGATTGTTTTAGGTTGGTTATCTATACTTAAGTCAAAAAAACTTAAAATGTAATTGCTAAGAGAAAAAAAATATTTTCGGTATATTTTTATTATAGTGGATTGCCTGTAACAGGAAATTAAAATTTTAACCCATTAAATTCATTGTTTATAGAAAACTGTAAACTAAGATAGTAGGATTTGGTAGATATATTAATATTATTAGGAACCAAGTTTTCAGTGTAAGGAGGGAAAGCACAAAGTAAAAATAAATTTTATGTTTAAAAAATGTTCAGTCATCTGCTGTGGTGCATGCCTGTTATTCCAGCACTCAGGGAGGCAGAGGCAGCCTGATCTCTATGAGTTCGAGGCCAGCCTGGACTACAAAGCGAGCTCAGAACACCCAGCGCTACACAGAGAAACTCTGTCTCAAAAAAAAGAAAAAAAAAACCACAAAAAATAATTTAAAAAAAGTAAAATTAGAATAGAAACTTTAATGTGAACTCATGTCTCTTTAGTTGTTCACTTTCAGTCCACTAAAAAGGACATTGGAAATGAGCTCTTGGTGCTTTCTGTTGAAGAAAGTGACCCTCCAGAATAGCTACTTTCAGCCAGATCTAGAACAGAAAAAAATACAAAGTGAACCTGCAGTATCTGGTACGAACAAACGGGGAAGCAGGATTTGACAGAGTGGTCAGAAGACAAAGGAGGACCCCAGCAAGATGGTCTAAAAATGCCTCCGGACAAGCCTGGCTTTGTATTCTGTTTCCAGAACCCATATGGTAGAATCCGAAACCCTATGCAGGTTGAAAGTTGACCCTGACCTTCGCAGGCAATTGCCTTGACACACGAGCCTCCCTCCAACCCTGTGCGTGCGTCCTTGCACAATAAATAAAATGCTTAAAAAAAAAATCAAATCCACAAACCAGACAGAGGAGCAAGCTGGAAGGCTTTCTACTGGCTAGTGTTGGGGAGGTTTGAATTTCAAAGAAAGTAAATGCTGTAGGTGATGTAGAGTTGAGGGGTATGGTACAGCTAATGAACCACTCACTTTCTGAGAGGAGGGAAACAGGAAGAGGTAAAGCAAAGCAAGGGAACATCTTTACAGAACTCTGCAGCTATCACCCTGGAAAGCGCGTCATCCACGTCATCCATCCGTCAGGCGAGGACGGTCAGAGGGTCTGGAGTCCTTGGGAGAGGAGAATGTCTCTTCCCCGGGAGAGAGTTTGCTCTTTTGCTCTCAGTGCCTTCCCCAGATGATCAGATGTAGCTCCACTCGGGTGGCACAGGCTGTGAAGTTAGTTATCGCGTTGGGATTTGAGGAGACTCTGGCTGCAGGAAAAGTTTTATCTGAACCTGGCCAGGCTTCTAGCCTTGTGCAACCTAAGAGAAATGTATTGTAAGACACAGTTGTAGTTTTAAATTACCCCCGTCAACGTTAAAAAGTAAAGAAATCGAGTTCGGGAAAACACTGGGTTTTCCTCACCGCAGTAGTTTTTATATCTAATATAAACTATGAAGAAGATGACATTCTCTTCTACTCTCCATCCATATTTTTATATTCAGTATTCATAGCCTATTTGTGCTCAGCTGGAAACACATATGCCCAACATGTGGAACGTTTTGTAAGATAATTGCACGGCACAGTAGCTTAACAGACCGTGCTGACACAAGCACGCATGTGCGTCTGCGTGTACACAGGGATTTGTCCTTGAGCTGTGGAGTAAGGTGGAGGCTGTCCATCAACTCACTGTGTAGCCCAGGCTGGCCTGGCCTTGTAGGTCATCCTGCCTGCTTTTTCTTAAGAACTGGAATTACAGGTATGCCCCACCACTCCTCAGTATATTGTGTACAAAAAGGAAGGTGAAGATTATACACATGCCTCCATTTTATTTTTGGTTCTGCCATGACTTCAGAGTAGAGAAACTCCTTTTACCTTTTGTTTAGTGGCTCTTATTAAGCCACTCACCAGCGCTGATTTTGTTACTCATTTATTTTTTTGTGGTCCTGAGAATCAGCTCTAGGATGGTTGTCTGGATGAGCTCCTCAGTGCTTTTTAATCTCTAGTTCTGGAAGAGAGAATACAGGACGCCACCAGTTCTCACTCCCAGTAGAGAACACAAAAACACTCATCAGCTCAGAGCACAGTGCTTAAAAAGACAAACTGATAGTCAAACACGTTATAGAAGTTTTCTGGATATTCATTACAGATAGTACCCTTTCCCCTTCAGTTCTAGGCATTGAACCTAGGGCCTTGTGCATGCTATACAAGTGTTCTCTATCTGTAGGCCAGTGCTAGGCCAGTGCTGTGCCACGAGCTACCTCCCGGTTGAAAGCGTTTCTTCAGGCCGTCTCGGAAGCCTGCGTCATCTGCCTCACAGTTTGCTGGTCCCGCAGCAGGACCTAGGACAAGTTAAAATAGCTCTTCTGCAGGGTGTTTGTCTGTCAAAGGCCGGCAGTGTGCCTTCTTCAGAGTCCTTAACGCAGTATGTGTTATTTAGCTCATGCCTGGAATGCTACTTCTCCCAAGCAGTGTCAGCGTCAGAGAAAGAAAAAGTAGGGAAAAGGCACAGAGTTGAAAAGGTTTGTTCCTGCCTCTCTTCCTGCATCCTAGCTCCAAGGATGCTGAAGCCGTGACTTCGACCACGAACACGGGACCCACCCTGAGGTTGTGGTGTGTTACTACAAACTGGATTTTTTTTTCCTTTAAAACTGTCTTCTGACTTCATTTAGTGCATGAAAAAAAAATATACTTTTAAACTTAAAAGTCTGTCAGATAGATGTTCTTTCTAAACTAGTGAGTCATAAGGCTGGTTTGGTACAGTTCGCTTCCCACCCACACTGGCAGTTACATGTGACAAAAGCGGGGTTATGAGGCAGAGCTGTTTGATTTGCAACTTTGAACAAGAGTTCACCTTTTTATGTGTAAGGGCAGCTTTTGACAATTTACAGAGCCTCTTTTTTCTTTTTTTTCTTTTAAAGCCACAGCTTCTTAAAGTTGCGTTTGTCTCCATTACAGTCTACTTATGAACAGAGACATCCTTGCAGAATTAGACCTGTTCACAGAGTAACTTAATTACTTTTCAAGTTAGGGTACTTTTATGTTCAGCATCTGATCGCTGCTCTCCCTGTAGTAAAGAGAGTGATTACAAATACTGTCTACCTGTGGAAGAGTGGGAGGAAGGATTGAAGGAGCCAGAGAGGTCAAGGACACCACAAGAAAACTTACAGAACCAACTCACCTGGGCCCACAGCGGCTTATAGAGACGGAACTGCCAACCGGAGAACATGCATGGCATGGACCTAGGCCCTCTGCACATATGTAACAGTTGTGCAGCTCGGTCTTCATGTGGGTCCCCCTAACAGCAGGAACAGAGGCTGTCTCTGACTCTGTTGCCTGCCTTTGGGTCCCTTTCCCCTACCTGGGCTCCCTTGTCTAGCCTCAATAGGAGCAGATGCCCTAGTCTACTGCAACTTGATATGCCAAGGTGGGCTGATATCCACAGGAGGCCTCCCCTTCTCTGAAGAGAAAGGGAGGGTAGGAGGATGGGGTGGGGGGAGGAGAAGCTGCAAATGGGATGTAAAGAAAAGGAAATCAAAACAAACAGACAAACAAGAAAACCAAATACTGTCCAGAGTGCCAGTAAATACACACACACATGCATACATATATACAAATATGCATATATAAGCAGTAATTAAACTACACCTAGACTTATCAAGAAGGCAATTGTGGAGGTTAATTCTGGAATATAATTTATTTTCTTTCTTTTTTTTTTTTTCAATAGAGTATCACTCCGTAGCTCAGGTTTTCCTCTAAGGTGTAACTTTGCTGTCTCAGCCATCATAGTACGCGAATTATAACTATGCTTTGCCATGCCCAGCTGTAATACCCTAATTTAGACTAATTTTTTTAAAAAAAGGAAAGTAGAAAGCTATTTTCTTAATGTCTAGTATTTTACTTGCAAAAGATGTGTAGATGTGTATATTCACCCTAAAAGATAGGGAATATTTAGCGCACGAGAAAAAATACAAAGCCCGACACCTGGGTAAGGACAGTAGCTCTGTGGTAAAAGCGATTGTTGCATGAGCTTGAGGACCTGGGTTTTTCTTTCCAGAACCCACGTAAAGCCAGACACGGTAACACACATCCATCATACCAGCCGTCTGTGGGAGAAACGTGGAGTCCAAACAGGAAAATACCTAGAGGGGTGTGGGCCAGCCAGCCTGGCAAACCCATGGCTGAACGAGAGAGCTGGTCTCTAACAGGGTAGAGGCAAGCAATGATGCCCGAGGATTCCGCTGGCTTCCATACCTGCACTGTTTCAAGTTTGTGCCTCTCCCACACACATACAGGAACACACGTACAGACAAGTGTAGAGTTAAAAATAGAAGTGTGATACCCAATGATAATCATATTTAAATGTCTAAAATATGTGGACATGTGTATTTACACTTCATAAATGATAATCAGACTGTTTTAATGAGTGCTGTGTAGACATATTTGTCCTGGTTATTATTATTTTTATAACTTGAAAGCTTTCATGGCATTTTTGAAGCTTTGTTTAATCCCTTTGTTGTGTTCCTCAGAAAAAAGGAGAAGAAAGAAAAGAAACCTGCTGTTGGCATATTTGGGATGGTGAGTTTGGGATTTACTTGTTGTTTAAAATCCCTCTGTCTGAAAAGAGATATTCCGCGTGGCTTTCTTAGAAAGAACGGGGATGTGGAGGAAAAGTGAATTGGTTGGCGTTAGCTTCTTTTCAGAGGAATGCCAGCCATTCACAGCTTATCATGTATGGAGCCTCAGCAGCTTCCTCTTCCTGGCTTAGATTTCAGTCTTTTCCAGGTTAGTTATGCTGCCAGTGATCTTTTACCTCTATTTTTCTTCTTGACGGGCATTGCCAGCTTGGGAGAGGAAAGTTGCCATATTCTACGCTGTCTTTTGTCGTTGTTTGAGACAGGGTCTTGCTCTGCATGTACAACGGATTGGCCTCCTACTCCTGATCCGTCTATCCCTTGCCTCCTATGTGTTGGGATTACCGTGGTACACCAACATTCGAGATGACATGCTGTCTTTCAAGGCTCTGAACTCCTGGCAGGTTTAATTCAAAATCCTATGTATGTACCCACATTAGTTTAGGTCTTGGTGGATTATTCATTACTTCGATTCAGCAATCAGATGTGCCAGTTAAATCTGGAAACACTCTCCTCAATAATGCCAATTCTAGTCAAACTGTATGTTAATATTAGCCATCACAGAAAGGGAATTGATTTCTATCTTTACAAAATATTATTATTATTTTTTTTACTATCATCTCTTAAGAAACTTTAAACATTCTCATCAGCTAGCACAGACGAGAAGACACACTGAATTCAATATGAAGAATTAGTACGTGGCGGCTGGAGAAATGGCTCAGCCGTCAAGAGCCCTGGCGTTTCAGTTCCCAGCACCCACATCAGACAAATCTCTGCCACCTGTATAACTCCACCTCCATGGGATCGTATGCTCTTTTCTGCCCACTGTTGGCACTCGAATTCACACACACACACACACACACACACACACACACACACACACACACACACACACACATACACACGTAAAAATAAAAATAAATTTTAAAAGAATTGGTCCAGCCCATGGTGAGACTATTGCCAAAATTCATCAACGGGAGGGGACAGCTTTGTGCTCCACAGCAGCGGTGACAGTCTAAAATGTGCTTGAATTTGAACTCTCTTTTGCGGCACCATCCATGGCTCGTGCACTCACTGCGCGCATGCTTTGCTCTCTCCTAGTTCCGCTATGCGGATTGGCTGGACAAGCTGTGCATGGTCCTGGGGACTCTGGCTGCTGTCATCCACGGAACGTCACTTCCCCTCTTGATGCTGGTGTTTGGACACATGACAGACAGTTTTATAAACACAGAAACCAGTATTCCACCCAACATTACAAATCAAAGTAAGGATTACTTGTGGTACCAAATTTATTGGAGTTTGGCAAATAACAGTCGCTTAATGTACCATTTGCCGGGCTTTTGCTAAATGTGCACGATTGTGTTTTGTGCTGCGAAAGGTGGGGGGGGTGGAGCTCCAGCTCATGTTCGAAATGAGTGAGAAGGCAATATTTATGGGCATTAGAACACACAAGAGAAGTGCTGACAGAGATATGTAGAAAAGGAGGGCACTCTATGAAGTCAGACAAGTCTTTGAAAGCTTCAGGAGGAAGTACAGGAATCTAACCAAGACTGTGAATAGTGAGCTGCGATGGCTTTAAGAGTCCGTGGCTATGAGTGTGAGAGAGTCTGGCATGACCTCCTTGGCTAAGAGTGTAAGTGAGGAGTTTAGGGTGACTAACACTTTTAGCCTAAGAAACTGGAAGGACATGGTTACTCTCAGTTGAGAAAGAGGAAAGGGAGAGACATCTGGGTAGTTTTGGATATTGTCATGTGTTGGCCTGTCTGAAAGCGGATCCAGGAGTGGAGAAACCAGCCCTGAGACAGTTGTTTACGAGGGAGAGGGAGAGAGTACAGGAAGTGAGAGAGAGTGTGTTAGTTTTAGGATGGGAAAAGTAATGCTTTTGTGCTTATGGAACTAAGAAAGTTGGAAGTGATGTTTGAAAGAGAGTGGAGAGATTCAGAGAGGTCCTCTATGATGGGCAAGATCCAAAGATGAGGGGGAAATGCTTACTCAGGGTAATGACAAGGACAGCCTAGCTAAGTGACAGGTGGAAATAGTGCGTTAGTGTCAGAATCTCAGGCATGGGTGAGGAGCTGGGAATCTATGCATGTTTTCTGCTTTAGGAAAACCTCCTGGGAGATTTCTAAAGACTCCTGTGGATGCCTGAAAACACAGAGAATACTGAACCTTGCAGACATGTACAATGTATTTTTTATACATGCAGACAATGAGAAAGTTCAATTTATAAATTAGGCATGATAAAAGATTAATGACAGCCATTAAAAAAACAAAATACAACAATGTACTGTGTTAAAAACTATTTCAGTGTTTGTTTCTATTTTCTCTAACATGTTACTGTGCCCTCCTGATGCTTGTGATGAAGTCAGATGATACAGTTTCATGATTCACTGCAGGAAACTGAAAGCACAAAAAGTCCAACATTGAACAGTTAGGGGACTGTTAGAATTTAATTTTTTTCAGTAAGGTTGGAAGCAAGAAACTGGCTAATAAGAAAATAATGCCAAACAGCACCCTGGAAGGATGAAGAAATGAATGAGCCGCTGAAATACTTTGTCTCTATCTAACACAAACATGCTTGGCTTGGGAGAGACAGGTTGCTAGCTTCGAGCTCTCTGCATGACCGATAGTCATGCAGAGAATGAGTAAATGATTGGAGGACTTACAGTTCAACTTGTACTCGGTAAATGTGTTGGTTATATATTTATATATAACATATATAGTTATATATTTAGAAGAGTGTGTGTGTGTGACACAATTAACGAAAACACAGGCCTTGAATTTGAAAGAGAGCAAGTAGTATGTGGGAGGGTTTAGAGGGAGGAAAGGAAAAGAAAATGATGTAATTATACTATAATCCCAAAAAGTTAAAAAACATAAACAATGTTCTCAGTGCCTATATATGAATACTCTTGATAATTCAGTGATACACTTAGCTTACAAGGACCCTTCATTTTTTTTTTTAATTAATTCAAGTATATGGCGGGGTGGCATTCAGGTGGATATTTGTTGAGGTTATCTATTGTGTACAGAAGAGGCCATTGGGTCCCCTGGAGCTACAGTTGCAGGAGGCTGTGAGCCACACAAGGTGGGTTCTGGGAACTGACATTGGGTCCTCTGCAAGAAGAGTTTCCACTCCTGACTGAGCCACCTTCTCATCCCTGGACTTTTTACATTTGATACTAGAAACCAAGCCCATGGCATCATTTGAACTCGTTTTTGAGTGCTCACAATTGAACTTATGGCCTCACAGATAGTAGGCAAATGCTCTCCCACTGAGCGACATTCCTTGCCTGATATTTGAACTCCCTTTTTAAAATTTATTTAAGATTTATCTATTTATGTATGTTTATGAGGGCTCTATTTGCAAATGTACCTGCAAGACAGAAGAGGGCATCAGATTCCATTATAGATGGTTGTGAGCCACCATGCGCCTGCTGGGAATTGAGCTCAGGACCTCTAGAAGAGCAGCTAGTGCTCTTAGCCACTGAGCCATCTCTCCAGCCTTATATTTGAACTCTTAAGTCTAAGATAAACACTATGAATCTTTACCCCATAAATATGCATGGAAATATCCAAATTAACTTGTAGCACATTGGAACCCTTGCTGATTTGTTCATGGATCTTGGGCCCACTTTTTTTTGTTAATGTTTTTCCTGAGTTAGAACTATGTCCATTTTCTGACTGTTGTGTCCTAGACTACAGAGCTTCCTTGTTTAGTAACTGCTCAGGAAGTCCCAGGTTCTTACACAATAACCACACAGCTGTGTAAAGACTTAACTGGGTCCATCCTTTATTGCTGCTGCTGTTGTCTCTGCGTTAGCTCTTCTGATGCCCTGCTTGGTCTCAGCATAGCTTTACTGTGAGGTCTGATTTCCTGATGCTCTACTCCCATGTCTCTTTAGCTGGGTATCAAAATCTGTTCAGCCTTTCCCTCAGGCTCTGATTACTGAGACAGGGAACTCTCTAGCCCTTCCACACTATTTGGGTGTGGGTGTGGGTGTGTGTGTGGGGGTGTCAAGGCTTAACCACCAGAAGTTTTCTGTAAGTCTCTGAATTTGCATCTCCATGTCAACTAAGTTCAGTCTACAAGTAGACTGATGTAAAGGCTGCTGGGGTTTTGAATGTGTTGTGCTGATATTGGCAGGGCACACAGAAGTCTAAATGACACCCAGGAAATTAAAGAAATGGCAGTGGATTAGCATAAGATAGGCCTAGAGACTGGGCAGTACATGTTGAAGGGGAGTTAAATCCTGCATGGGAAATGGGGAAAGGTCAATGGAATTAGAAGCTCACACTCTTCACACATGTCCATATTTCTCACATTGCAAGTCATCATTTTTCTTCCTTTCCCTCCCCTCTATAATGTATAATCTAATATTTTTGCAACGACTATAAAATTTGAGATGCACCTTTCACTGACCCAACAGTCTTGATTATGATAATTTCTCCCATACAATATTTATAATATGTTCATATACATGGTCGTATATGCTTATGCAGTGTTAATTGTCTGTTTGTGTAGTGCTGGATCAAACCCAGGGCATACTGTTTGCCGGGTAAGTACACCCTCAGTGAGCAATGTGCCCAGGCTGCATTTGCTTGTAACAGTATGATATTGGAAACAACCAAAATGGATGCAAATTTTAATTGATATAAGCATATTAATGTTTTGTATATGAGTACATACATATGTAAAAGAAAGTTTGATAGCATATACACGGAAATGTTGCACAGTGGTTATCTGTGTTTATGTGTAGATGGTTAATGTTTTGGACTTTTTCACGTCTTCGGTTCAGACTGTTAGCACTTCCCGATATTGGATAATGTTTTATTCTTCTTGATAATTTTGAAGTAGCAATAGGAGTAGAGATATACAATGTTAGTGTTTAAATATGTGCCCAAGTGTCCGGTCACAGTGGTAAAATTTATTTGTCACTGTGAGTTTCTTCTTGAAAGTGAGGAATCGCTGGGTGCAGGCTATGTGTAGTTATACATGGCTAGCAGGGCAATGTTTGAACGAGTGTCGATAAAGCTTGCGTTAGACCTGAATTGAGTTTAGCTGAGTCACTTGAATCCTGTTTTTGTGTAAATTTTCAGGTGAAATGAGTTTGGTTTCTTTTTTCTATGCTTATTTCTGTTGGAGACCAAAGAGGCATAAATGGGCCTGCTCTGTTTTCTGGTTGTCTAGGTGAAGTCAGCAGTATACAGATCATCAGCAACAGCAGTCTGGAAGAAGACATGGCCACGTAATTCAACATTTTTTTCTTCTTTCATTAATCTTTCCTGCATTAACCCATTATAATGATCTATTCGATTTTTCACTCTTATAATATGATTTGAAGTTGAGTTAAGAATCGTTGTTTGTAGCTTCGTAATTATAAGTTTACATCTTGCACAGTTTCCCTAGTAGTAATGATATTAGGATCGGCCCCCAGGAAGATTTTAAACTCAGCATCTAATTCTAAATAATGAAATGAAACATCCTAGAATAAATAAATGTTTAACTTTGACCTTGGCTTACTTTGGGGAAATGTTTTGTTAATGATTTACACTATTGGAAGTTGTTCTTCAGAATCTCTTGGAACAAATGTGCAAAGATCTATGACAGTATTCAAGCAATATGATTCTGCATTATGCTATGAATGGTTTGATATGTTCAAAGGAAGTGGAGACACTTGATTATATTAAGAAGTTAAGAAGCTAAGACTCTGAATATTATTGCATAGAGGCAGTATTTTCTATTTTGAGACAGCTTCATCCCCTTCCTCCCTCTTCCTCCCTCTTCCTCCCTCTTCCTTTGAGATATGCTCTGACTTCACTGTCCACACTGCTCTCAAGCCTGTAGTATTCCTTCTTCGTCTGCCTTTTAAGGGCTGGAATTACAGGTTTAAGCAACAAGGCCCAGTTAACAATAATATCTGGATTGTTTAAAATACATTACCAAGGAATCATGGACACACTCAGCACTGTGAAGGTATTCACAGGAGGCTTTTGAGATTAAAACCAGCCTGGGCTACGTTGTAGCAAGAGAACAAATAAATAAGACTGGCTACATTGTAGCAAGACTCTATTTTAAAAATTAACCTAAAAAATATAAATAAATGAGCAAAGAAATAAAACTAACAGATTGTTCCCTAGCCATAAGGTACACGTGTTGAATGGGGTTACTCTTACTATATGATCAGCACATGAAAAATAATTAATTATAGACGTATCTACTAATGAGAAGTATTCTTCTTGCACCATATCTTTTTTTCAAGTTATCAGATGTAACAGGGCACAATATGTTAGCAGGATAGCTGATAGGTTGAGCACAGGACTGTGAATGTCTCTTCCTTTTACCTAAGCATTTTGATGCTTTCCTACAACACACTGAATTTTTCAGAAGGTAACAACTGAAACTTTGATTTTTAATTGGGGGAATCTGTGCCCTATCATTCATTTTGGAAGGTTTGCCTTTAGTCTAGCATTAACTGAGTGGAGAAGCCCAAGAGTTGTTTGCTCTGGTGATTGTGAAGACTCTGAACAAGACAGCATCGATTCACCTTTTCTTGATTTAATTTGAGGCCTTTCATTTTTTCCTTGTTTCAATTTAAATTAGAAGGGCTGCTCTTTGATTCATTAAGACATTTTAGGGCAGTTAATAATGACTAATTGAGCAATACTATTAGTTTTCATCTGTGACTTAGCAGCCACAGTCTAGCAGGAGTTCAAAGGGTGTGGACTCACTCCCATCTCTGGTTTGCACTTTCAGACAAACTCTGTCGCTTATGTCCCTTGACAGGAAGACAACCTGAAGGTCTCACTGCCCATGAAGCTGATGTCATGAGATCGGCACTCTAACGAATGGCATGTCCTACCAGATGCCAGTTCACTAGGCACTCTCTCATAGTAACTATGTTCTCTGCGTCATTACATGTAAAGGACTATTTTATGTAAGCCCCATTTTACCAGCTAGGAAATTGGGGCGTAGGATGGGAGGCAACCTGCCTGAGCTTACAAGGTAGTGAAGAGCCGGCATCTATTTGTCTGAGTGCAGATGTAGGTGGCTACTGACCATTACAAAGCCATTAGTGACCATTACAGCCGCTTCCTGTTTGTGAAGGAGGGTGGGCTACCAGCATGTACAGTGTCCTTGTTTTTCAGGTACGCCTACTATTACACGGGGATCGGTGCTGGTGTGCTCATAGTTGCCTACATTCAGGTTTCGTTCTGGTGCATGGCAGCCGGAAGACAAATACACAAAATCAGGCAGAAGTTTTTCCACGCTATAATGAACCAGGAGATAGGCTGGTTTGACGTGCACGACGTCGGGGAGCTCAACACCCGGCTCACAGAGTGAGTACCTGGTTTATGCTGGAGTCTGATGTGGTCTCGTTCTCACCAGCTCTGTCAGGACTGTCGCTGCCTCACCGAGCGGAGGAAAGCCCTTGTGCCCGGTACCTGGGTCTTCCACAGCTTCTTGTCCACAGCAGGGCATGGGAGGATGGAGGTGGGCTCCTGTTTGCCTGGCACTGAGGGACTAGACTGGCAGAGTCAAGACACACTCAGCGAGCACGGCAGCGGTGCACAGGGAGCAACGATGTGGGCTGTCCAGCCCCGCTGAGCCCTCTCTTGCCAGGGCTCCATGGTGTCCTTGGACTGCAGTGGGGAGAAGGAAGGAGCTCCTGTCTGTCTATCATCCTCTGCTCTACAGAAGACAGGATGAACTCAATGATTGCCTTCATAGAGGACAGAGCCAGATGCACGCAGAGAAATCTCTGAGCAGTTTGAAATTTCACAGTGAATAGTCTTAAATGTCCCATGTTCGTAGTCTGAGGCCAAGTAGGCCTAGAAGGAGGCCACAGCTGAGCTAGCTTCATAGAATACTGTTGATGACAGATCTCCTACTGGAAACCAACAGCCTGTCAAGTGAAATGTACACATACAAAGATTCTAGATATATACTTTACGTCAGACTTGGTGATGCAATGCAAAACTGGATAAGTTCTGTGTTTCCAAATCTGACAGTACTTGTAACATGGTCTCTTTCTTCTTTAGTGATGTGTCCAAAATTAATGATGGAATTGGCGACAAAATTGGAATGTTTTTTCAGTCCATAACTACATTTTTAGCGGGTTTTATGGTAGGATTCATAAGTGGTTGGAAGCTAACCCTTGTAATTTTGGCTGTCAGCCCTCTTATTGGATTGTCATCTGCTTTGTGGTCAAAGGTAGGTGAATCCACCTCTCTTAGCCCTCCCCAGACACGAGGAAGGGTCTTTTAAACTTCTGTTTAACAATCAGCAGGATAAGCTGACCCAGCCCCACTGAGCTAGTACTTGTGGAAAGGGGGCCTCGTATATAAAAGACATGCTGAGCCGGAAAGATCTGTCTGTGCCCAGGAGAGAACAGCACCGCATTCACTGTGCAATACAAGTGGCCTTCCCGTGACTACACCGCCCCCTCTGCCCCCCCATGGTTTTTTTAGGACTTACTGTCACTCTCCAGGGCACAGCCTGGCTTGAGTTGCACTTTTACCCAGTGAGCCATCTTGCCAGCCTTTGACAGCCTAAAAGCTTCTTTTTCTTGATTGATTTTCCTGCTTAGAAGAGCATTGAACAGGTTAGATTCAAACCTTCAGAATGTAATAAAAGTTTATTTAAAACGTTGTAGGATGCCTTGTAGCTAGATGAAGAAAAGAGAGTTCAGCTGAATCTTATGAGAACTCCTCATTGCTTCAGTTACTGGGGCCTCTATGTTACTCCCTGCTCTGCCCCTGTCTTAGATTCTCAGGTTGTTGGCTGGGTTAAAGGGTCCATGCACTCCTTTGAGGAGCTGTTTCCCGTTGTCGGCTGGAGGCTATCTTCCCAGGCACCTTGGGCAGTTGACCCAGAGTCTTGTGCCCAGAATTCTCTTCCTTGCCTAGACATTGGGGCAGCTAGAGGGTACTGGCCAGGGTGGGAAACCACTACCTGGCATTCACAGATCTTGCTCCTCATGGTTAATGTGCAAACAACATATTTGTATCTATTTGTTTAGAGTTGTTAGGCATCCGAAAATAACACAAGATTGCACTTTGACAGGTCTTGACTTCATTTACTAACAAGGAACTCCAGGCATATGCCAAAGCTGGAGCAGTTGCAGAAGAAGTCTTAGCAGCCGTCAGAACCGTGATCGCGTTTGGAGGACAAGAGAAAGAACTTGAAAGGTTTGGGTTTCTTTTGCTAGGAATTTAAAATTCTGTGTCATTGCTAATGTTCTGGAAAGTTGCAATCCTAATTCTGCTTTCCTGGTGCGTGCCTTTAGAAGAAGGGAGTGTGTATGTTTCGTTTTCTTTTTGCATTGGGATGTTTTGAAAGCCTGTGTTTTCATTCTCAGAGAAAGAGGGCCTGGTACAGAAACTACGGATAAGGAAGTGTCTGGTACACAGACAGTCATTAGTTTAAGAACTGAAAGACTCCGAAGAGAGTGTTGGGGGTATTTTTTCAGAGAGACATTGAAAAGTGCTTTGATAGGGCTGGAGAGATGGCTTTGTGATTAAGAGGGCCTCCTGTTCTTATGGAGGACCTGAGATTGGATGGGTTCAAACACCTGTAACTCCAGCTCCAAGGGATCTGACCCATATCCCCTTTTGGCCTCTAGGGGGTGATATGTGCATCCCCCAACACACATACATAATCTTTCAAAACGTGCTCTGATAAGAGAAATGTACTTGAGGAGCATGAGGAGAGCACATTTAAATATGGTAAAGGAATTCCTCTTAGAGGAGAATTCAGCCAGCCTGACACCTGAGAGATGAGACATTTCCCATGGCTAAGGCAGAGATGAGTCATCTAAATCTCCCAAGATAGCAAAAGTTTCTGTAGGGTTTGGGATATATCATTACAAAACTTCTGCATCTGAAGCCATCAGTCTGTCCTTCTTTCCCATCAAAATATCAGGTGTGGGAGGAAACTGGCTGGCATGGAATAGAAATTTAACCACAATTGTGAATGCCTTAAATGCAGCAGTCAGAACAGATTCATTATGTTACATTTAACATTTTTTTTTCTCTTGCGTTTTTCAAATCTATTTCTTTCTCTATATGGAAGCTTTTTGCTTTCATGGAATCCTGTTTGGAGATTGCTGGCTTTGCTTCCTGAGTGACCAGAATCCTGTTCTGAAAGTCCTTACTTACTCCTAAATGTTCAAGTATATGTCCTACTTTTTCTCTAGCAGTTTCAGACCTTCAGGCCTTATGTGTAGACTGCTTTGTCGTGGAAATTTCTTGTTTCTCTTTTAACTAAGGCAAGTAGTTTTTCTGGGTATAACAGCCTTGGTTATTAGCTTTCAAAATCTGACTGTATCACTCTAAGCCCTTCTGGTTTTAAAAGTTTATATTGAGAAATCAACTGTTACTCTGATTGACTTGCCTCTGTATATGATTTGGCCCTTTTCTCCTGCCGTTTTCAGTTCCTTTTTTCTCTTCTTTCCTTCTTTCTTTTCTTTCTGTGTTTTTAGTGTTTTAACTATAACATGATATGGGGAGTTGTTTTTGTTGTTGTTGTTGTTGTTTTGCTTTGTTTTTTCTGGTCCTGTCTCTTAGATATTCTCCATGTGTTTTGTACCTAGATTGACATCTGTTTTAGATGTGGCAAAATTTCTTCTATAGTTTTTGTTGGAAATATTTTCTGAACCTTTGGCATGAAGTTCTTCTTTGCCCATCATTCATAGATTTGATCTTTTCATGAAATTTCAAAGTTCCTTCATGTTCTTTTTATATGTTTTTGAAAATTTATCATTGTCTTTGACTGAATGATGCAATTCTTTTACCTTGACTCAAGTTTTGCTAGACTGTCCTCCACATTATCCAGGCTCTTCGTAAGTAAGGCTTTCCACTAGCTTTTGATTTGACTTACTGAGTTTCATGTTTTGAGCATCATTTTGTTTTGCTTTTTCAGCAGTGTTTCTGTCGTTATTGAATTCCATTTTCATATCTTGAGTTGATGTTCATATTTCATTCAGCTGCTTGTATGCTCTTTGAGGGCATTCATGTTCTCCTTGAATTCTGGGAATGTGATTATAGTTGTATTTTTTTTAAATTCATTGTTTGGAATTTCAGCTGAGCCACTGACTACACTATAGTTTTTGGAGGATACATGTTGTCTTGGTTTTTCATCTAATTTTTGAGCTGGATATTGTCCATCTGGAGTTAGTTTGTTAGCAGAAGTTGTTAATTGTTTTTTGTTTTCTTGTTCTTTCTGCGTCACCTCTTTTTGCTGAGGGTCACCCTGCACTTTTAATTGGAGTGTTGTGGTTCCTGTCACTCCTTAGGGGTGCTCTTTCTATCAGTTTGCTCAGGTAGGACAGAGAGCTAATAAGCTGAGTAGCTTAGTCAGATTAAGCCTGATGTACTAGCAGTGCGGTTCCATCGTTGTGCTCTTTCATGTAATTTAAGCCTGATCCAGGTTGCACTTCCTGCAGAGCCCAGGGTTTCTCACTGCCTCACCTGCAGGCCAGTCTGTGTCCCTACTGTCACATGGTGCCTATAGCTTTCTTGGTCTATACCTACTGTATGTGTAGAACAGCAATCTTAAAATTCATATATCTATACAGACAAGATAAAGCTATACTGCTTGCTTTTAAGAAAGAACACTTTGCTGTGCAGCCCTGCCTGGCCTGGAGCTCTCCGTCCTTTCACCTGGGTTGCCTAGGTTCTGGGATTATTGCTGTGTGGCTCTAGGCCCATTTAGTACAGTTTCTTTAGGTGTCAAAAACTTGGTTTAACATGTCACAGTTTCCATAGCGTGTGTAGTCTTCCCGTTGGCCCTTCTAGCACCCCAAGAGAGCAAGCTGGCTTTAAAGCTTCCTTAAGGTCCAGAACTTTAAGCTGCTTTCTTATGCTAAGATTTTCTAGCATTACATATCTAGTTCATGAACTATTGGTTCCTTTTCTTTTCTCTTCTCCCCCTTCTTTGTTCTTCATCCTCTTCTTTCTCTTTTCCTAGTCTTCATTCTCCCCCCACCTCCACTTTCAGCTTCTTTCTCCTTCTACCTTCTTTCTCATTACCCCTACTCTTTTCTTCTCTCCTCCTCCTTCCCCAAGTAGGACAGGCTGGACTTGAACTTGCAGTCCTCCTGCTTCAGCCACGCTAGTGCTAGGATTACAGGCACCACCACTACCAGCCATTTTTCTCGTATGTGCAATAATAGGTACTTTTGATATTTTTTATTATTTCATTATTACTAAGCCCCCCCCCCCAAAGGCACAAGCCTCAGTTTTCTCTTCAACAAAGGAATAATATAATAATGGTATATCTTAGGGGTAATGTATGGAGAAAAGAAGAAAATGCTTGTGTACTACAGGGCTGGATGCATTCCAGTTACTCAAGTAACTCTTGTTATGTTAGCATAGTTTCTTAAATTTATGAATGGAGCATATGTAATAATTTCTGTTTTGTTTTGTTTTTTTTTTCTAGGTACAACAAAAATTTAGAAGACGCTAAAAATGTTGGGATAAAGAAAGCTATCACAGCCAACATTTCCATAGGTCTTGCCTACCTGTTGGTGTATGCATCATATTCACTGGCGTTCTGGTATGGTACCTCCTTGGTCCTCTCAAACGAATATTCTATTGGACAGGTGCTTACTGTAAGTAATACGCAATTTATAAGAGGAGTCCTTAAAAATGACAATTAAGTTGAGTGGTTTTAATTTGACCTTGGAAGAATGTGTTTTGAAAAACTACAAAGAAATGTTCATTCAATAATAAGAAAAAAAAAAGTCTTCATCTTGAAGCGTCACAAACCAATGTCTTATTCACTGTATGATTGCTGTGAAGAGATGCCATGACCAAGGTAATTCTTTTTTTTTTTTTTTAATTTATTTAATTTTGCTATTTTATGTGCATTAGTGTGAAGGTGTCAGCTCCCTTGGAATTGAGGTTACAGACAGTTGTGAGCTGCCATGTGGGTACTGGGAATTGAACCTGGGTCCTTTGGAAGAGCAGACAGCACTCTTAACCACTGAGCCATCTCTCCAGCCCCCAAGATAACTCTTATAAAGGAAAACATTTAATGGAGGCTGGCCTACAGTTTTAGAGGTTTAGTCCATTATCATCATGGTGGAAAGCATGGTGGCACATAGGCATGATAATAATTGAGGGCTACATCCTGATCCGAAGGAAGAGAGAGAGAGAGAGAAATGAACCTTGAGCTTTGAGCAGCTCATCCCCAGCGACATACTTTCTCCAACAAGGCCAACCACGCCTACACCTCCTAATCATTTTAATCTTATCAGAGTTCCATTCCCTGGTGACTAAGCTAAACTAAACTTGAGCCTAGGGGGTGAATGAATGAGCCCAAGTTTGAACTCTCTACTCTCTCACTGTGTCTTCTGTCTTGTTATTTGTGGTCTGATGTCTGTCTGTCTGACCTTACAAAGAGCTCTTTCCTCTGTATTCATTGAAGAGCACAGAAAACATTGGAAAGGAATGAGGGGATTCTTTTTCACTGAAAAATTGAATAGAGGTTCACAAGGAAAGATGCTATTTTACTGACCTCAAATAGCAGGCAGACATGATAAACCTAGACCCACGTGTTGTTTCCAACATTTACTGCGGATACTCGTTTCCTTCAAAGTTGCTTTCAACTCATTGTTTGTATTTTAGCAAGTTATTACCAAAACACACACACCTATATAATTCTTCTGAAATATGGAAAAGTTTATTGTTTAAGGTTAAACCTATGCCTTTAGCAGAGGTTGTAAAAGCTCAGCATGTCTGAAGTCCAAGGCATGGCCAGGTTGGTTACTTTGCTTTCTTAACAGCAAGTTACACTTAAACTCTATGCCGTAGGGGAACAGAGTGACTATATGGTTTTAAATGATTTTAAGGCATATTATTAACTTGGTTGCATGGTCTGGCAAAAATGTAGTCTCTGAAGACAAGAAGTGTTTTCAAAAAAGATAATTCCCAGACCTGTAACCTGAATACCATTAGCATTAGCTACCTGTCTGCTATGAGCTTACATTTAGCAGGGTGGTTTCATTTTGACAAGCTTGTACCGAGTGCCTCCCTTATATCTTATTCTCTTATTTTTTCTTCGCTTCATTTCCCTTCTTTTCTTATTTTCTGATTTACTATTCAAATAAAAAACGAATAGTAAAAATCTTTTGCATGGCAGCTGATGTATCTTACAGATCTGTAGAAACGTAAATCGTTGCTCTTTTTAACAGAATATTCTACTTAGAGGTTTCCCACATTGGAGGACTGTGCACAAGTAAAGGCAGTTTTCTTTCATTTGAAGACAATTAAATAATTTATAAACAAAGCTCAATCTGTGATAGCCAGCTCCTTTTTTTTTTTTTTTTCTTCCCAAACACAAGCATGTTGAGTTCATGACCACGGCCACCTTTTCTTGAATCATTTAATGTAATTTCTTTTTTATATTTTCTCATCTTCACTATGTAGTCCAGGCTATCCTGGTGATTCTCCTGCCTTAGCTGTTGACTTTGGCAACCATAGGTGGGCACCACATGTCTGGAAAACAATTCTCTTCATCAAAATTTAGATTTGTAGGGGCTAGAGAGATGGCTCACTGGTTGGGGGTGCTGGCTGCTCTTACAGGGGACCAGGGTTCTTTTCCTATCACCCACATGGCAGCTCACAGTTGTCTGTAGCTCCAGTTCCAAGAGATCCAACAAAATGCCAGTGCACATGAAATAAAAATTAAAAAATTATTTTTAAAATTTTAGACTTGTAATACAGAAGCAATAATTGCCTTTATTTTTTTAATCTCATTTAACACCATTTATGAGGCTGTTTGATTAGGAACAGGCTTTACTGCTCCCTTCACCAGTTTTTAAGGTAGCTTAAATTTTTATTTTATTTCTAATTATGTGTCTGTATAAGTATGTATTTGTCATATGCATGTGTGTGTGTGTGTGGGGGGGGTGCCACAGGAGGCCAGAAGGACTAGAGTTTCAGGTAGTTCTTAGATGGAGGTTATGAACAGCCCAACATGGGTGTTGGGAACCAAACTCATGTCCTTTGCAAGAGCAGTGTGTGTTTTTAACTGCTCAGCCATATTTTCAGCTGCTAGGGTAGTTTTTATTTTTAAGCAGCCATGTTTGTTTTTTGTTTTTGTTTTGTTGTTGTTGTTGTTTTGTTTTGTTTTATTTAAGAGCTTAGGTTGTAATAAGAAATGTGTCCTGCTTAGTGTGGTGTAGAGAAACATTTTTGGTTGGTTTTCCATATGCTCAGTATAGAACCTGGGCTTCATGTATATCAGCCTGAGCAGCAGCACTTCTCCTCCTGAAGGACATCCTCTGCTTTGGAGAAGTGATACGTATCAGATGTTTGCTGATCAGGAACATCGGAACAGCTCATGCAGGGTTCTATTCCAGACTCCCTGTGTTCAGATTCTACCTGGACTTTCCCAGCTGAGTGATCTGAGAGCAACTGCCTAAACTCTTCTAAGAGCTTAGTTTCTCTTCTAAGCCTCCTCTGTCAAACAGACATGACAGAAGTACGTGCCCTAACTTCCAGCCTTGTTGTGAAGTCCACAGTCATGTTCCTGTACGGCTAGGAAATGAGTCCTGAAATCAGTTCTCTTAAAGCTCCAATAGAGCAAAGCCAAGACTTTAGGAACAAGAGGAAAGTGTTTTGAATAAAACAAAGAACAAAAACCCAAATAGCCATTTGTTAGATTTCAAAAAGAAAACAGCATAGGGAGATGAAGTAGGGGCGCCGAGTCATGCCTTATGTGTGTGCTTCATAATCGAGAGAGCATTTGCAGAGGCAGTAGCATCATATGCATCATAGACAGAGCAGGTCAACTTGGAGGACAAAGACTTGAAGAGAATATTCTGAAGATGTACAGTACCAATCCAGGTATAGACCTGGTCGTTTTAGACTTGTGAATATCTAGGTAAAAATGCTGAACCTTTGGAAGAAAAATAAAAATTTTCGATTTAATATGATGATTGTATAGAAATTATACCCTTGTGTAATGAAGCACAAATAAGACTAATTCCAAATTCCAAGCACATTAAGTGTTTAAACTTAAATTCACACTGATTTTTTTCATTCTAACCAAAGAATCACAGCTATTTTACTTTTGTTGACTACAGTATACTTTTATATATGTCTAAGGTTAAGTTCAGCATAGCTGATTACCAGGATTTGAACTTGAATCTCTTAGTCACAAACTTAAAATATTTTCAGTACTTAATATTATTATGTTATCCTTGTTGCTTTGAAATGAAATTGGTTGTGTTAGAAGCAAAAGAAAACATGAGAAAAATTGTGCTTATGCTCTAAGTAATGCATGATTTGGTCTCTCTTCCTCAGATCTTCTTCTCTGTATTATTGGGGAATTTTAGTATTGGACATTTAGCTCCGAGCATAGAGGCCTTTGCAAATGCAAGAGGGGCAGCCTATGAAATCTTCAAGATAATTGATAATGTAAGTCTAACCTGTCCATTTATCCATCTACTCAAAAGGGTTTTCTGATTGAGTCAGTTTCATTATTACATCCTCTCTCCACAAAGTGTCACTGTAAAGTACTTACTGTAACCTGGTGATCTCCTAAATTATTTTTCTGCTTAGGAGCCACGCATCGACAGCTTCTCAACAAAGGGACACAAACCAGACAGTATAATGGGAAATTTAGAATTTAAAAATGTTCACTTCAGCTACCCGTCTCGAAGTAAAGTTAAGGTATGGTGATAAACGATAGATCTATGATTCAGTAATGTGCTGGATAGAGATGCTTCTTTAGAAATTTTAAAACAAAGGAAATAATCACATATTGTTGGGGGATGGTCTGATGCTTGTATTTTGATGCAAATTACTGGCTCTCAAGATCCGGTTACTGCCTGGATATACCCACCCTTCCTGTGTAAACCTGCCTAAGACATTATACCAGATTGGTTGATTAAAGATCTAAAACTCACATCTATCTTGTTTGCCTTTCTGAATGAGGACATCAGAAGAGGGAGAAAACAGGGAACAGGACAGGCGCCTACCATGGAGGGCCTCTGAAAGACTCTACCCAGCAGGGTATTAAAGCAGATGCTAGGACTCGTAGCCAAACTTTGGGCAGAGTGCAGGGAATTTTATGAAAGAAAGGGGAGATAGAAAGACCTGGAGGGGACAGGAGTCCCACAAGGAGAGAAACAAAACCAAAATATCTGGGCCCAGGGTTTTTTTCTGAGACTGGTCCAACCAAGGACCATTCGTGGAGATAACCTAGAACCCCTGCACAGATGTTGCCCATGGCAGTTCAGTCTCCAAATGGGTTGCATAGTAAGGGGAACAGGGACTGTCTCTGACATGAACCCAGTGGCTGGCCCTATGGGGAGCAGCCTTACCAGGCCACAGAGGAAGACAATGGAGCCAGTCCTGATGAGACCTGAAAGGCTAGGATCAGATGAAAGGGGAGGAGGACCTCTCCTATCAGTGGACTGAAGGAGGAGCATAGGAGGAGATGAGAGAGGTAGGGAGGGATTGAGAGGGGAAAAGGGAGGGGCTACAGATGGGATACAAAGTGAGTAAATTGTAATAAATAAAATAATTAATTAATTAAGTTTAAAAAGAGGCCTAAAACCTGGGCAGGACAGAATGGGGTCGGAGTGGCTAATGTTTCCAGGCTTTGGGAACAGGAAAATCAGGGGAAGAAGACAGGAAGACAGGAGCAAGGAGGATGCCACAATGGGTTATCGTGGAGAAGAACTCACATGGGCCAAGAGAAGGACTCCAAGGATAGCGTGTATGGAGAAAACACCAAAATGAAAAATCTGAGCAAGTATTTATAAGATTATGGATGGAAAGTAGCCCAGATAAGGATAAAGGTTAAAGGCAGATGGCACTGGGTGAGGTTTGGGAGGTAGAGATGGTGAGGTTATTGAGACAGGGTAGGTAAAATATCTGCCCAGCCCAAGGTAAAAAAAGGCAATTATAACATTTCACAGGTGTCTGTGTCCTATTAATTGTGATAGTGGGTTAAATAATTCCGCTGAAATAATTAGAGGGCCAATAATAAATAACATTGTTTAGCTCAACACCAAATATTTACAACAACATATATTTTATATATTTAAATCCAGTATTGAATTCAGCATTCAGCTCATAGAATGTATGTCCGTCAGTCTGTCCTTTGAATTGTCCTACTAACGCTGACTTTTCCCGTGCCTTCGCAGATCTTGAAGGGCCTCAACCTGAAGGTGCAGAGCGGACAGACGGTGGCCCTGGTTGGCAACAGCGGCTGTGGGAAAAGCACCACTGTCCAGCTGCTGCAGAGGCTCTACGACCCCACAGAGGGCACGGTGAGAGGGCACGCAGCCCGCAGCAGTTGCCAGGGCCCAGCGTTCTGGCTCCGTGATCCTAAAGCGTGAAACCCACACATGTTGTTTCAGGTCAGTATCGACGGGCAGGACATCAGGAGCATCAACGTGAGGTATCTGCGGGAAATCATTGGCGTGGTGAGCCAGGAACCTGTGCTGTTTGCCACCACGATCGCTGAAAACATCCGCTACGGCCGGGAGGACGTGACCTTGGACGAGATTGAGAAAGCCGTCAAGGAGGCCAACGCCTACGACTTTATCATGAAGCTGCCCCACGTGAGTCGTACCTGACCGCTCTCACCCCAGGCTCAGAGAGTAGAGCTGGCCTGATGCGGTTCACGTGAACTCAGGAAACTTCTCTTAGCTGGAATAGCTTCCTTCGCAGGGGACTCCCCTTACCGTGGGTCTTAAGCCCTCGCCTACCTGATGTGATAGCTGTGTGCATTTCTTGGGCATCATCTTGGTGGACATCCCGGGTCGAAATGTGACCCGAGACAGTTTGTTGCTTTGCTTTATTTTCCTGTTTTCTGATTGTTTAATTGTAGAAATTTGACACCCTGGTTGGCGAGAGAGGGACGCAGCTCAGTGGGGGACAGAAACAGAGAATCGCCATTGCGCGTGCGCTGGTCCGCAATCCCAAGATCCTTTTGTTGGATGAGGCCACGTCAGCCTTGGACACAGAAAGTGAAGCCGTGGTTCAGGCCGCTCTGGATAAGGTCTGTGAGCTCTGTACTTATAAAGGTCTGAATTACAAGAATAATAGTATTCCATTTTTTTTTTCATGTGAGTGACTGTGTAGGTGTATATGCATATGCAAGTAAACATGTATGTACATGTATCTTCCTTAATTGATCTCCTTTCATTTTTTGGCATAAACCTGGAGCTCACTGATTTGGCTGGCAACACTGGCTGGTCTATGAGGCTTAGTATCTTTCTGTGTCTGACTCTTGGGAACATGCTACTTAAAAACAAACAAAACAAAGTTTTATTTATTTTCTATTTGCTTTAAGTCTATACAAAATATTTTGATCATGGTCTCCATTGTTATTGTTCTGTTTTGTTTCGTTTTTGAGACATGGTTTCTCTGTGTAGCTTTGGCTGTCCTGGAACTAGCTCTGCAGACCAGGCTGACCTTGAACTCAGAGATCCACATAACTGCCTCCTAAGTACTGATATTAAAGGTGTGTACCACTACGCCCAGCTTTGATCTTATTTATTTTATTTATTTATTCATTCATTTATTTATTTATTTATTTATTTATTTATTTATTTATTTATTTATTTATTATAATTTATTCCCTTTGTATCCCATCTGTAGCCCCCTCCCTTGTCTCCTCCCAGCTCCCTCCACCCACCCTTCCTCTTCTCCCACTCCCAGCCCCTTCCTTAGTCCCCTGATAGGGGAGGACCTCCTCCCCTTCTATGTGACTCTAGACTATCAGGTCTCATCAGGGCAGACTGCATCAGCTTCTTCTGTGGCCTGGCAAGGGTGTCCCCCCACCATGGGAAGGTGGTCAAAGAGCCAGTCACTGAGTTCATGTCAGAGACAGCCCCTGCCCCCCTTACTGTGTAACCCACTTGGAAATTGAGCAGCCTATGGGCTACACCTGTGTAGGGATTCTAGGTCCTCTCCATGCATGGTCACTGGTTGGAGTATCGGTCTCTACAGGACCCCCTAGGCCCAGGTATTTTGGCTTTGTTATTCTCCTTGTGGAATTTTTGTCCCCTCTAGGTCTTTCTATCTCCCTCTTCTTTCATAAGGATTCTGACACTCTGCCCAAAGTTTGGCTATGAGTCTCAGCATCTCCTTCAATACTCTGATGGTAGTCTTTCAGAGGCCCTCTGTGGAAGGCTCCCATCCTGTTCCTTGTCTTCTACTTCAGAGGTTTATCCTGATGTTAATCCTTCTGATTGAGGATTAAGCATCTTCCCTAGGGTCCTCCTTGTTGTTTAGCTTCTTTAGGACTATAGACTTTAGTATGTTTATCCTATATTATGTGGCTAATATCCAGTTATAAGTGAGTATATATCATATGTGTCCCTCTGCTTCTGGGTTACCTCACTCAGGATGATCTTTTCTAGATCCCACCATTTTGCTGCAAATTTCATGATTTCCTTGTTTTTAATTGCCAAGTAGTATTCTTTACCCAAACCCAACTCCTCCCAGATCCTTCCTCACCTTTCTACCTACCCGACTTCATGTTCCCTCTCTTCTCTCTGTAAAAACAGACAAACAAGCAAAAACCATGTAGTTTATGTTTTCTGACTATGTGATCAATGCACTGAGTTTTACTCCACTGAAAAAAAAACTGATTTTTCCTTTCCCACAACTATCAGATACGAGTAGTTTCTTGGCTACAGTGAAAATTAGTGAAACCATAGGCTATTTTTTTGGAGTTTTCTTGGCTCTATAATGTTGAAACACTGCCCTTTAGTAAACATAAAATGAAATACTGAGTTTACATATAGCAGTTCATGTATCAGAAGCCAGATTCCTCTCTCCTCAGGCTAGAGAAGGCCGGACCACCATTGTGATAGCTCATCGCTTGTCTACAGTTCGTAATGCTGACATCATTGCTGGGTTTGATGATGGTGTCATTGTGGAGCAAGGAAATCATGATGAGCTCATGAGAGAGAAGGGCATTTACTTCAAACTTGTCCTGGCACAGGTACAGCCGAACTCTAGAAGCGTCCTACTTTATCTTGGTGGTGACATGGTACTGCTATTTGATGCTATAGAGAAATTTCATTTGCTTATCTTGAAAAGCATGACACGTGCTTGGATATCCAGAACCAGGCAAGTGTTCTATGTTACTTTTTCTAGGAAAGAGGAAAGCTTAAAAAGAGATAATTGACGTTTAACAAGATTTTGAGATGAACTAGCCGTGGTAGTAGCTCCTAGCCACATTTGGCTACTGACGGTTGAAGTATTGGTTAATCTGGATTTTAGAAAAAAATTTTTTAAAAAATTATTTATTTATTTATTTATTTATTTTACATATATGTGTGCTCAATCTATAGGTCACATGTATGCCAAAAGAAGGCATCACATCCCAGTAGAGATGGCTGTCAGCCACCATGTGGTCGCTAGGAATTGAACTCAGAAGAGAAGGCTGTGCTCTTAACCACTGAGCCATCTCTCCAGCCCTGGAATATTTTAAGTACAAAATGACACTGGAATCCTGAAGGCCAAGTATTAAAAAAAAAAAAAAAATGCAAAACATACCATAACAATAATAGATTGGATTTGTTAGATTAAATATATAATTAAATTGACATTTATCTATTTTTCCATTTTCAAATGTGACTACTAGGAAATTTTTAAATGACAGATGTGACGCACATTATGGAAAGTACCACATCGCCATTGCTGATAACCGGTTTCAAGCAAACTTAATTGGCTGAATGTCCCAGAGGTGGAGGGAAAAGTTTTGTTTAACTTTCTGTTGCTGTGATAATATACCATGACCAGTCACAACTTGGGGAGGAAAGGGTATATGTCATCCTACAGCTTATAGTCAGTCCATTGCCCAGGGAAGTCAGGCCAGAAACTCAAGGCAGGAGCTGATGCAGACACCATGGAGGGGCGCTGCTTACTGGCTTTCTCCCTCTGGCTTGCTCAGCCTCCTTTTTCATACAGCCCAGGATCACCTACCCAGGTATGGCACCACGCACAATGGGCCCTCCCTCCTCAATGATAAATCAAGAAAACACCCCACAGACTTGTTTAAAAGCCAGTGTTAAGGGGTCATTTTAATTAAGCTTCCTTCTTCCTAGATGTGCCTGGGTTTGTATTCAGTTGACAGCAGCACAGCAATGACTATGTAACAGCCATTTTATTTGGTAGCAGTCTTTTTCATTTTGTGGTTGGTTTTAATTGCAAATAATATCATAGGAGAAAGCGTAGCAGCTTAACCTCTGTTCCCATAATAACTTGAAACATTTCATTATTCCTTAATGCTCATGAGTGAATTATTTCCCTTGTTTAACTGTACCTAGCCAACTTCTCTGTCTATCTTATTTGTTTTAGACTAAAGGAAATGAAATTGAACCAGGAAGTGATTCTCAAAGTGACACTAATAACACTCAATTGACTTCAGAAGAATCAAAATGTACTTTAACAAGGAGATCAACTTGCTGGAGTATCCAAGGACAGCAAGACCAAGAGAGAAAAGAGGGCCTGGTATGGATGTGGCTGTAGTCTTAGTTATAAATCCTCTCACACCATTCCTTGTGACTCTGTTAGCTGGGTTAGCTGGGGCTGGGATAGGCGGAAAAATGAGATATAACTGTTTAGAATCATTCTATCATGTTTTCTAGGTTATTTCAGAAACCAAAATCATAACATTTTATAGTCAGTTTAGAATTTAAAAATAAGAATTCATATGAAGTTTTCTAAATGTTTAACTTGTGTAAAGAATCTGCAGTGGTCTATATTAGTATTACCCTTGTTGCTGTAACAAAAATAACTACTGAAACAACTTCAGGGAGGAAGGTTTATTGTATCTCACAGTTTGAGGGTGTAGTTGATGACAATGACATCATAGTCAGGAAGCAGAGAATGATGAATGCTTGCGTTTGAGTCCTTTCCCTTTTTATAAGTACTCTCACATCAGTTAACCAAATCTTAATTGTCTCCTGGGTTATCTGAATCATCCCCTAAAACTGGCAATAATAAGCTATCATTGTCAGGAATTTCTAAAGTCAGAAATGTTGGCTACATTTTAAGGAATTAGTAAAAACGTGTTTTTTGTTTGTTTGTTTGTTTTTGTGGTGCTAGGGCCTCATCCATTCTAGTTAGACGCCTTACCAATGAGCATGTCAGCCCTCATTTTCTATCTACTATATCAAGTAGTATGCAGCTCTTCCTTGTATGCCTGTGTGCTCTTAACATACATAAAGATTCTGGACAGATGGAGAGGGCTAGAGTACAGCCATAATATATTTAAATAAACACGTAGCCCACCAAGAGTATGTTTATGACAGAAGCACATATTCTTTATAACCTCAGATGTCAGTAAAATCAGATTATTATATGTTTGAGCAGTTTAGTAATTTTTAAAAAGATTGAGACTCTGCTGGATGTGCCAGTGAATTTTCTTTGCTGTTTGTTCCTAATTGTAAATATTCCTGTCTTCTGAATCCTAGGCTAAGAGTGTTGATCACAGCATCATTGTTTTTGTTTCTGTTTTCTTTTTTTAATGAAACTTGTCAGAATTGGGTTCATAAATAGTACTACCAATTAATAAGGAATAGTGTTGTATTCATTAATGATAATATGGATAGATGAAGCCATAGATGACAAATTTAATCATCAATTTTTAAATAATACTTGTATCTGTATTGAGTATTTTGACTGTGTATATATATGTCTGTATACACATATATATGGTGCCCCTAAATCCCCTAGAACTAGAGGTACAGACAATTATGAATTGCCTTTTGGGTGCTAGGACTAGAACATGGGTCCTCTGGAAAACCAGTAGGAGTGCCCTCAACTGCTGAGCCTTTCTCTAGCCCCCAAAGTACCAGTTTTGTAAGCTATCTTGTTGAAATGTATGTTTTTTAGGAGGAAGACGTGCCCCTAGTTTCCTTTCGGCAGATCCTAAAGCTAAATATAACTGAATGGCCTTATTTAGTTGTTGGTGCACTTTGTGCTGTTGTAAATGGATGCCTGCAACCAGTGTTTTCTATAGTATTTTCAAGGATCGTAGGGGTAAGTGTTGGTGTCTATTTTGTGTAGATTTGTTTGTGTTTACTGATAAAAAGTGAATGAATTGCGTCCATTTATACTATTGACGATAAGCCAGAAAACCATGAATCTTCACATGGTTTGAAGTTGGGAAAATCAAAGTCTCATTTGTAAGAAGAAACCTAATAGTTTTATTTACATTTTTTTGAGAATTCCTTATAAAAGTACTATATTTGCATCATTTTCATCTCCTTCAACCCCCTCCAATTCCTGTGTATACTTCCCACCCCCTCTCAAACTCCCTCTCTTATAATTATTATTGTTTTACACACACACACACACACACACACACACACACACACACACACACACCCTACTGAGCCCATTTAGTAGAGAAACACAAAGAAATAAGAATAAAAGAGTTGGCTAAGTGAGCTGCCAGAGAACCAGAATACCAGATGCTGGATGACAAGGGAGCTGTACCCTTGACAATAAATGACACACCAGCCAACAGGCCTATGTGGGTGGAAGACATTTCACAAGGCTTCTCACAATGCTGAGAAGAGGGAGTCTCCATTTTCTTTAAGAGATGAGCTTCTTGGCCGATTACCCAGTGCCAAATAGCCTAGACAGCTTGGGACACTTTGAGATCTTCACAGAATAAAACAAAGAATTGTTGAACAGCATTGTTTCTTGATAGGATTCCAAGTGGAGAGGATTTATTACAGTCCATTCCCTAGTAGGTGGCATGCATGAATCTATATGGAAACCCGACCCCCTCCCCCAAAATATTGGGTGAATCTATGAATGGTAGACCCCCACCGCCTTTGAAGGAAAGCCGAGTGCAAGATGCCTTGGAGGGCGGCATTCCAGAAGCTAAACCTGTTCCAGTATACAAAGTCTGTCTTGTCCCCCAAACTGTGAGAATGTGGGGAATGGGCTCCATGCAGAATGCCTTCCTCAGCGATAGAACTAAGAACCTCTCAAATATTTTGTCACAGGTTTTTGCAGGGGATGATGACCCTGAAACCAAACAGAAGAATTGTAACTTGTTTTCACTGCTTTTTCTGGTCATGGGGATGGTTTCTTTTGTTACATACTTCTTTCAGGTAAGTTTCTACATTTTTTTCTGTATTCATTTTGGAAGATTTGCAAACATGTATGTGATTTTCCTATGTGTGTGATTCCTCCTTCTTTACTTGGGCTCTAATGGTCTGTGGCTTTGCCTCCTCTTACTTGCTTTCCTTCTCCTCTCCGCCCTTTTCCCAAAGACAGCCCTTGACCTAACCACAGTAAGGGGATGTTCAGTTGCTGCAGTGATTAGAATGAAGATGGAAACATGAGAATGGGAGCCCCCGGGGATAAGTTTGGAGCTAAGTATTTCTGTTCAATTTGGTATTTTGAGAAATGTCTTCCTATATTTGGACAAAAGAAAGAAAGAAAAAGGAACTAAAAGAACTTGCAAATATATCACACTAAAAAAAAGTTGAGATTTGCTATGCTCTTGCTGCAGAGAAAGAACCCTTACAATGATAGGAGAAGCATTAAAAGCTGTTGTATTTTATGATTAATATTTACAATTGATATATCTTTGGTAAAGCTGCTGCTAATCCTAAACAGCTGTATACCCAAATCACCACACAGACACTGGGATTTATTTAATTAACCTAGAACACAATGCTGGGCAATAGTTACTCCATCCTAAACCTCCAAGTCCACGTAGTTTACTAACATTTAGATTTCCCACACTATACTTGCTTTTAGTGATATATTAGGTCCAGTCCATCTCTCCATGTCATTCCAAGATCTCTCCCTCCAGCTCTGCTTTCCTAGCTCTGCCCTCGCCCTTTTGCCTCCCACTCTTTTCCTGTCCACTGGCTCCTCCCCTCTCCCCTGCTTCCTTTTTCTTGTTCAACATTGTGGCTAGTTGCTTTATTTTGGCATGTTTACACAAAGTTGAGACAGATGATGCTTAGAATAAATATCACAATACAATGTCCGGATTGAAGCCAGAGAGTGGGGAAGAGAAATCAGCATTTGAATGACCAAGAGTAAGGTGTATACATTCCAAAAGGACATTGTACCAACAAAAAGCCAATCATGAAGAAGAAGAAGAAGAACCACTTAAGACCCATCCTTAGCATGGGTTTTGCTACTTGAACATCATATGATTCCAATTATAAGCAGTGTAGACGCTGGGGTTAGACCTATATCTTTCTGTCATTTGCACACATGGCCAATTATGTGTTTATGGGAAAATTAGTCATTTTATCTGTTTTTGCCTGAACTTCCTTTCTCCAAAATATGGGAAGTTTTACCTCATGATGATTAAAAGAAATGTGAGCAAGTGAGCAAGCCCATATCTATGAGAGGCATTATGAAATAACCTCCTACCCAGTGAGTCAGTGATTACCCACATGAAATACTGTAGCTGAAACTTTGAATACATTTCTTTAATACATTCTGGGCGTTAATTTAGAATTTTATTTTATGTGATGAGTGTTTTGATTGCATGCATGCCTGTGTACCATGTGCATGCCTGTTGCCAGCGGAAGCCAGAAGAGGGAGATCAGTCCGCCGAAACTGGAGTTACAGATGGTTATGAACCACCATCAGGAATGGAACTAGGGTTCTCTGGAAGAGCAGCTAGTGCTCTTAACTACTGAGCCATCTCTCCAGCTCCTAGTTATATTCTAGACATGTATTAATATTTTTGTAGACAAGACACAGTTCCTGAACACTGTTGGAGATGAAAAAAGGGAATAAAACAGTTACTTGACTAAATGCTTAAAAGGTTGTAGAACTCCATCTTGCTAGAATAAATAGACATGGCTTACCTGCAAGAGACTCACATGTGTTCAGAGAAGTTTCGGTTGCTCTGTGTGGAGTGGGTAAGAGATTGGGAGGGAGGCAGCTTGGAGATGGTCACTCTTACTTTGGCAGTTGGACTAGCAAAGCATAAAGAGTGAAAGCCATTCCCTCACACCCTGGCTGTGTTGGGGAAGCTGAGTCTCCCGTGACTCAGTCTGAGAAACAGCCAGTGGATCCCTGGACATCAGTGGATTTCAAATCCATGCTGGAAAGAATGGAATGCCCAGGTGCTCATCTGAGAATCAGGCAGGAACCTCAGTGAGGACCAGAGAATCAGCCTGAGTCCTTTCTTACTCAGGAGTTCACATTCCATCGTATAGACCCTGATAAGCCCCTGCTGGGCTGTGACCTCTGGAGACCTGTCAACTATTCCAACTCCCAGCTTGGTTTTAAGCATGATGGTTCTAGGGCTATGAGATTGTATGTGTACAAGCCCACCATGTAACAGAAGGTAGCTGTTGGCAAAAATAACTAACTCCTGCAGGCGGGTAGTAGCCCATTTAGTCTAGCAAATTCGAAATGAGAAAGATCTTTCGTGTACACGCCATTTGGTCCAACAGCAGAAACCTGTTTGTGGCCCCATCTGGCCTTTACTTACATAGTCCCTCTTTTCCTTTTCCATCTTGACTTGTTTCCTCAGCACGTTTTTCCTCCCTTTCTTTCAGTAACACCCAGAGTGCAACTTGAGAGGCACAAAGGGATACATGGCTGCCCTCATCCATTTCTCTGACACCACAGGAGGTTACAGGGTTGCAATTATACAACCTTTCCCATGCTGCTTTTCTGTTTCTCATCTATAGGTTGCCATTTCCAGTTTCACGTGAAAAGGGGAATATTGCTGCTTCCAAGTCCTTTGCACCCCCCAGGCATTGTGTCGAGGGCTTGGCTGTCATTCCTTCCCAGATGTGGCCTGGCATAGCAGCACACTCGTATCTTACTGTTCTTTCCTGCTTACAGTCCCTCCTCTAGACATTGAACTGTACGGAAGGATGGGGAGATGGAATCCAAAAGGCTTCCTCTTGAAGAGCCACCTTCCTCAATCTGTTTTGATACCAAAGTTTGGCTTTCTCAGTTCCTCCCTTATGGATGGGTGACTATACATTCTTTTTCCAGATTTCACCTTAGGTTCTTGGGCAGCCATTAACAGTGCATCTTTTGTCTCACAAATGTTCCAATTAAATAATAATTTATGCTTACAGCTTGTCTTGGTTAGGTTTCTATTGCTGTGAAGAGACACCATGACTGAGGCAACTCTTATAAAAACAAACAAACAAACAAACAAACATTTATTTGGGGCTGGCTTACAGTTTCAGAGGTTAAGTGCCATTTTCACCACAGCGGGAAGCATGGGGGCATGCAGACATGATGCTGGAGGAGCCGAGATCTCTATATCTTGGTCCACAGGCAGCAAGGAGACTGTGATCCACACTTGGCGGAGCTTGAACATCAGAGACCTCAGAGCCCGCCCCCACAGTGACACGCTTCCTCCAACACGGTCACACCTCCTAATAGTGCCACCCCCCATGACACATGAGTTTATGGGGACCGTAGCTATTCAAACCACCACACAGCTTGTTTCGAGCGGTCCTTCTTTCTAGCTGATTGAACGACCGAGGAGCTGGGAAGGGCTGGCTGGGATTGGGATGGAGTGGGTGAGGCACATCAATGCGTTTGTAGTACACCTCTGGACACCCTGTCACTCAAACACCGGCCTCTGCTAGGCCTCTCCCCACTGCAGCTACATGCCTGGCCCTGTAGTCTAGGGTCACAACAATACAGCCACCCCAGGAACTGAGGCCTTGCGACTGCGTGTATCCTATATCCCCACCACAATAACATCGGTCCCCCTTCCTGCTGTGTAATTGCTGCCTGAGTCCCTGACCAGTCTTCCATGTAACGTGTCCTTGTTCCTCTTAGGGCTTCTCCTTCGGCAAAGCTGGAGAGATCCTCACCAAGCGACTCCGCTACATGGTTTTCAAGTCCATGCTGAAACAGGTATGGCTGTCGAGGGTAGCACCTGGGGGTGAGTACGACTCCTCTCTTGAGCTCCGTGGACATAGATTGTAAGAGCTCCGTCATGCTTCCTAGCTAGAGATTCTGCGTGGGTGCTCAGCCTCATCTCGAGAGGCTGGTGAAACATCCGTAGACGTAGCTTCAGTCTGTCTGCTGCAGCCAGGCACTGGGTTGAGACAAATGCTGTCCCCTCCAGCATTGAGAGACCACAGAAGACAAAGTAATCTTCATTTTCCTCATTCCCCACTCTTTCCTTCTTTCTCCGTGAACCCGGGATACTCTGCCATGACTCTTGCCCTCAGACGATACCCTTCATGCCTTTCATTCCACAGGTCCAAGATCATTGCCTTGACTCATCATTCCTTACTGCCTAGTTTCTTTCAGGAGACTGATGTGTAACCCACAGGCACTGGTAGCTCAGTGACATAATAGGACACAGTCCACCTCACACTTTGTATCTTCAACATGCTTAGAATGGGCAGTGTGGATATTTTCCTTGAAGAAGTAGGATTTGGGAAAGGTATCCCAGGGCAGCCAAGAAGAAGGAGGAAGGACTGTTGTTTGTTTTTTAGTAATTGTGAGAAATTTGCATATGACTTTAAAAATAGCATGTGATCACTAGTCATTTGCTGTTGACTAAAAAGGTGTTCAAACATCCTAGCCCAGGCAAGCCGGAGGCACTGGAGCCCAGCTCGGAAGCAGCAACGTTCCATGAGAAGAAGCCAGTCCCATATTCCCGGCTGTTGCTTTGTTTTTTAAGATTTTTTTTTTAAAATTACGCGTATATGGGGGAGAGGGGAATAATGTGCACATGAGGGTAGGTGTCTGGGGAGGTCAAAAATGGCCTCCGATCCCCTGGGGGTAAAGGTTACTGTGTGCTGCTAACACTGGTGCTGGGAACCAGACTCCGCAAGAGCAGTGTGCCCTTTAACCTCCAGCTTCCTGCGCAGCTGTTTTTGATCCCAAGGTTCTTTCCCAGTCTTCCCAGCCACACTTCAAAAGGTAGCTTGTTAGCTCCAGGTGTTTACAGCCAGGACTGAGTCTGACGTGTGAAAAGGCCCGATTTTATGGTGGCCTTTCACCTTGGGCTTTCTGTCAAGCCATATTCAACACCGGGATTCTACTTACCCTCCCGTGGTAGACCTTGGTAAACCACCGGATGCTCATCTTGCCACCAGCCTGCAGGCTAGCCCTCAAGTCTGCTGTTCTTCAAGAGCTGACTGGATGGCGTCTGCGATTCCCTTTCCATAAACTGTTCAGTACCTCAGACATATGAAAGCCGCTGCTGATGAAGTATAGAATTAAGAATTGCAAGGTAGTCAAACCTGAATGGCCTCTGTTTTCAAGGATGTCGTGTTCCAGGCGGGAAACACTTTAGTACCTGAGAATACTAAAGAGTGCATTGATACGGGCTCTAGTGAATCATTGCACTTTGGTGACTTTTTTTGTTGAGTATGTTCTAGGTAATTCAGTTTCTGCTTTGAGCATCGTTGATTCAGATGTCTATAAAGGCCAAAGTCATTTGTGACAGACATAAGTTCATACTTCAGAACCACAATCTTTCCTCCGCTTGCTTTAATAGATGAGATATCAGAAGGAAAATCTTTCTTTAAATATCGAGCGTTATTTGAATGTACATTGCTTTTGACTTTTTAACCTCATTCATTTATGCTACCCTGACTACAGTTAACTCTTTGGGTGTTTAGCTTCTCTCCTTTGATACTGATAAATGTCTCAAACTTCCAAATTTCCAAACTTGAACTTTTGACTTCTCTTTCCTCAGTAAGCTTACTCCATACCTACTCTTTATGCCTCTCTGTAGCACTGTTCAGACTAAAACCTTGAGGCCTCCCCTCTCTGTTTAATATCTTGCCTCTCCACCAATTGATCGTCAGCCTCATAGCTGCTTTCATCACTTCCATCCTCACCCCAGTGTGGATACAATACGTATGCCACAGGGGAGATTCTATAGTCTGTACAATTGTCAGAGATTGTGCCCGGCATGCATTGCCCAGCCACACCCAGTCATAAGCAATGGCACCCTTTTCCAGCACACGACATCTCCAAGACTCTGTAGGCAACTGCACAGTCATGGGAGAGAGACTCAGGGGAAGCCCGTTGAGAGGAAGAAGTTTATTTAGAGATAATAGTGGTTGTTTGGTTTAGGCTACCACAGCCTGCTCGCTTTGCTTGAGAGATTGAGTGGGCCTAGGCCTCAGTGCTTTTGCGTGTGCTCCATCTTCTCTCAAAAGCTCCTGCCTCCCATGTCTGCTCACAGGGCCCCTTAGAAAGGCCTGCCTTCTCTGTCCCTTCTCTACCTCGTCCCCCACTTCTGTGACATGTTTCTGTCCAGAGTGTTAATTATCATCTAGACGGTGCACGTTTGTTTACTTGTGCCTTCTATCCCAAGAGCTGAGGCCTTAGGGTGACAGCAGCATTGTTAGCCTTCACTGCTTAATACTTGAAGTTATGCTAGTGACAAGGAGAATTTTTTTAAAATATAAATTAACAAACAAAATATTCCAGTCATGTGTTTGTATGTTAACTCTCTCTCCTGCCTATTGAACGTTAAATTCTGGATGCTAAGCGCAGGGGCTATGTGATAGTTAATGTCACTTTCTCCTAGATCTGAGAGTTTCATAAACAGGGCATTTAGATTTAAAAACAAAATGCTTCTTGTGTTACAGGACGTAAGCTGGTTTGATGATCATAAAAACAGCACTGGCGCACTGACCACCAGGCTCGCCAGTGATGCCTCGAATGTTAAAGGGGTATGTGCGCCCCCTGGGTGGGTGGGTGTCTTCATTCCATTTTGATCCAGAGCATGAGACCAAGTTCCTCGCTATAGGTGTTAGTGACTATCTTTAAGAGGATGTACATAGGGGCTGGAGGGGGAAAAATGTAAATATCCATTTAACTCACTGGGATATCACATGTGTTAAACATATATTGCATAGTATGTACCTTCGAAGCATTCTTTTGTGATTGGTGTTTTTCCTACGGTGCACCAAGCATAGTTACTAGAAAAGGGACCACTCTGTGTGCTGCCATTCCCATGAGGCTTTTCCTGAGGAGTGAGTGTTGCTAATGGAAGAGAGAGTATTGACAGCCCGTTTTCCAGGGTTGGTCTGCTTTACTTCTCAGTTATGTAACAGAGAGTTGTCCTTGCTACTCAAGAGGACACATATACCTCTTGTCAGGGTATGTCTAGGTGTCTGGAGCAAAAGGAAGAAAATCTTTCTTAAAATGATTGTAGGAAACAAGACATATATTGGAAATGATTGACCGCATAGAAGAAATAACTTTTGAGTTCTCACATCATCAGGTTTTGATTCCTGGCCGAATACAGTTTCTTCTGTGCCCACCCCTTCATAGCAATACTCCTCATCGAGAAGAGGATGCGAAAACTCAAACATAGTCCCTGTTGTGTCCCTCTCAACCCTGAGCCTTTGGGTCGGTCTTCCATCTTTCAAGCTTCCTGTATGCCAGAACTATACAGATGACGTTTCGGGTTGGAGCTTCCATTAAAATTGCAACATGAACCCACGCAGAAGATTGGAAAATTCTTCAAAGTCTTAGAACTCTCGAGAATTACTTTCATAGTTATCTTTTTTTAATGGATAAATCCAACACCAAAGACTTGTGACAGGTTGTGTAGGACAAAAAAATGAACAAATAAGACATAATTATGTATTTCATGTAACAGACAAGGCTTTTGCCCTCATGCAGTCTGCTTGGTAGGCCAGACCATCAAAAGTGCAAAAGGATGACTAGAGGCAGGACATAAGATTTAGGAGAGGGCCTTTGAGGAAGGGAGGGAGGGAAGGCATGCAGGCCCACCTCAGTGATGTCAAGGAGGCAGAAGGCCTGAAGGAAGGGCAAGTGCAGTTCTTGTAGGAACAGAAGGCTGTTCCGGTAAGATCAGAAAGTGCTGGCATCCCAATTCTAGCACTTTCCTCAGAAAGGAAGATTTTTGCAATCTTTTGATTTACCTTGATTCTTTGGCTCTCATGATCCAAAGCAGGATCTGCCTGTGTCTTAAAGGTTCCAGCAGGGAGATGCTCCAGGCGCTTCTGTCCATCAGCAGGTGCTGTGGGGAGTGAGTTCTGTGAAGGACTCAGATGCTAACAGAGGGAGCACCCTAGTGCGCCCCCATCCTGCAGTCTCCCAGACTGCTGCCCTTGACCCTCACACGAGAAATGTGCAGGAAGAGCTCATTAAAGGTCACTCTGCAATTTGATCTGTGCACAGTTTAGCCAAGGGTCTCTTCAATATAAGTTTATTTGTCTACACCATATATGTGTGTGTATGTATATGAATCATATATATATGCCATATATATGCACCATGAATATATACACATACATGATGGAGAATATATATATTTCCATTTTTTTTTCAAATTAAATAGAAGTAAATTAAACCTAAAATAAGTTTCAAATGAGGCCAGGTATATTTTAATATCCTTAATGGAAACACTAACCTTAGTTTACAAACAATTGGATAACTCACGTAAAAACTGCCTCCATTCCCAGGCTAGTATCGTGGTCAGTGTCTTTAACTGTGCTCATTTGTGTAGCTTGCTTGGGTGATCAGGCTGTGATACATAAAGATTTCCCGGGATTGAAAAATCAGCCAGGGTGAAGAGAGGGTTCAGTGGGTCACAGCACCTTCTCTGCAAGCGTGAGGACCCGAGCTTGAGTGCACAACGCTCACATTAAAAAAGCCGGGCATGGCTGCACATGCCTGTAAAGGAAGACACCACAACCTGCTCTAGCCTCCAACATACTCGTGTACATGGAGCACATAAACACACATGTGCATATATACCCCAATACAAACACGCTGAAAAAAAAAATCAGAATGGAGAAAAAAAGCTAACCAAATCCTGGATTCTTTTTAATGATTTAATTGTTATTATTTTAAGTACATTGGCATTTTGTTTACACGCATGTTGGTGTGAGGGTGTAGTTCCAGTTTTGAAATTATGGACAGATGTGAGCCACCATGTGGGTGCTGGGACTTGAACCTGGTCCTCTGGAAGAGCACCCAGTGCTCTTAACCACTGAGCCACCTCTCCAGCCCCTAAATCCTGGTTTATTGATCTACTTTCCTATTTAAGTAGAAATCAGGAAAATTTAGAAACACAATGAACTTAAGAGTAAACAGTACTTTAGTAACTGAGAAGGTAATTAGTATATTTGCATGAAAGTAAATTGTCCTAATTCTTAAGAGTACATAAACATGTATTTTGCAGTTAATATAAAAACATGTCTCTCATTTGTTGTGTTTTTCAGGCTATGGGTTCCAGGCTTGCTGTAATTACCCAGAATGTAGCAAATCTTGGGACAGGAATTATCATATCCTTAATCTATGGCTGGCAGCTGACGCTTTTACTGGTAGTGATCATACCGCTCATTATATTGGGTGGAATTATTGAGTTGAAACTGTTGTCTGGTCAAGCTCTGAAAGACAAGAAAGAATTAGAGGTTTCTGGGAAGGTGAGTCAAACTAAATGCATTTTTTTTTTTTTGAGACAGGGTTTTTCTGCCGTGGCTGTGCTGATGAGGCTCTGCTGGACCCCACAAAGATCCACTTTCCTCTGCCTCCACAAGTGTTAGGATTACAGGCGTGCACCACCACACCCAGCTCGAAGCATAATTCTTAGCAGAAAAACAATTCTTGGTGTGATGTTTGGCAGTTCGCTGCTGCTGGCTGTGCTATGCTCTGAGGGTGTTTTTTTAACATTAGTTTCCTGCAGATTCACAACAGAAGAAAAAGTGGGGAAACACCTCTCTGGTCTGAAAGACTGACGGCTGCTTTTCATGGCTTTTCTGGGTTCAGGCCATTGCCTCCAGTTTCTCCCAGGTTCCCATCCAGCCCTCTCCTTCCTTCCATTCTTTTTTTTTCCCTGTCCTGTTTCTTCTCTGCCCACTTTCTCTGTTTTTTTGTCTTTCTTGCTCTAAACCATTCCTGTATTCCGGAATGTGGACCCATTTTGTATTTCGTGATTGGGGATATTCGTTATGGAAAAGTCCTAAGAGTATGTGTTCTTTCCATTTTAGATTGCTGCCCTTTCCCCTTTGTGGTGCCTTCTCCTTCCCCCATATCTGTTGTCCTTCACTTGATCCTGTTTGTTGTGCACACCTAGCTAATTTTTTTCTTCACAGCTTAACAAATGCTTTTGTGGGACTTACTGGATTTCCTTCCCGTGTTTTATTTCTTGCAGTGACACTATCAGGTATGTTCTGTTATAACCAGATTTTTTTTTCAGGTGAAGCTGATGGATAAGTAGGCTTATGCATTTCCTGCCTTCAAGCCAGTCACTCCCAGAGGCAGGATTCAAACTCAGGCAGAGAATTATCGAGGAATCCACATTCTGTTATGGTGGATCATAATCAGACATTACATGCTGTCTGCAGAAATAAGAGTTTGGATCAGGGCTGACCCCTTCCCAGTGTCTACTAGGGCTAAATCTACTGATGGACATTCTGAATTCCCAAGATTTTAGGGCCTGGTCCACTGGAGGTGGGAGGGGCTTGGGTTCCCAGTGTGTGTGTGTGTGTGTGTGTGTGTGTGCGCGCGCGCACATGGGTGTACTTTATCTCCTAGCCATGCACCTTACTGATGTGAGTGATGAGGGAGGCCCTGGAAGTTAGTTATCACCAAGATTCCTCATCCTGCTTTCTTGGAGTTCCTTTGAGGGAAATACTTTTGATCAGCTTTCTCACCTCCAAACCATTGTTTCTGGGGTCAGATGTCACAGTGTGAATACCCTTAGTCCTTCTGAGTCAAACAACATTAGTTGCAGTTGGAAAAGATCAAGTTGCAGAACACTCAATTAGCCAAGAGAAGGTCCAAATAAATAGAACTTAAAATTGTATGCTTATTACTACTGGGAATGTGGAGGATCATTAGGAGATTTTAAAATTTTTATTTAATAAAAAATTTTAATTACTTTATATATGTCATATATACATGTGATATATATTATTTTATGTGGGTTATATGCACATGAATACAGGTGCCATAGAGGCCAGAGATGTCAAATACTCCTGGAGATACAAGTAGTTATGAGCCTCCTGATGTGATTATTGAGAACTGAATTGGGGTCCTCTGGAACAGCAATATGGGCATGTAATTGCTGAGCCATTTCTCCAGCCCTATTAGGGCATATTTTTAGGGGGAAAATGCTGACACTATAGCAAATTTATAAGAAATGGAATGATTTCTGGACAAATACAACCTACCAAATTGAATCTAAGGAATTTAGGAAATGAAATACAACAAAAACATGAGATTGAATGATAAGTTTCCCAGCCAAAAAAAGTCCATATGAGACAAAGAAGAAAGGAAAGAAACCTCTCCAAACTTATTCTGTGCGGCTAAGAAGCTACATTACCCAGGTACTAATACCTGATAAGGACAAAAAAGAAACCAAACAACCTTACAGAACAACAACAAGACCCCCAGAAAACGACAGCAGTGTGTCCAGTAAACAGACGCAAAAATTTTCACACTCTATGTGCAAAATGAATAAGAAAGAGGGCTGGCCAAGAAAAAGCTTATGCAGACAGGCATGGTGAACGCTTGTGGTCCTGACATTCACGAGACAGGAAGAAAGACACGCCGGGCTATGGAGTGAGATGCTGTCTCAAGAAATCAAACCAGGAAAGGTACGCTGTGGTAGATCATCCTAAGAAATCACCCTTGGGATGCAAGAAAAGCTCAGTACACACAATTCAGAACTGAGGCACATGAGTAAACACGGTTATCTGAGGAAATCCAGACACAGCGGTTGAAGAAATTCCACATCCCCTCTTGATGAAAGGCTTTGACTAGTGTAGAAGGATCACGCATACTAAATGTTGTGCGTGGCATGTGTAGAGCTAATACCATGAAACAAGAAAAAGCTGGAAGCATTTCTTTAAAATCAGGAGTAAAAGAGCAACTAATATCACTTCTGCTCAATTTTAGCTGGAGAGATCACACGTGAGAAATATTATAAAGGCAGGAAAGACACAAAATACTATGTATATTAAACAGGAAAAGATTTGACTGAAAGACTGCCAGAGCTCATGAATTCACTAAAGCAGCATATACAAACAAAAGCTAACTTGTAAACATCAGTAGCTGTTTCTCACACCAGCCAGCACTTCACTAAGACAAGTTAGGAATCCGTTCCTAATAACTATGACAACAAGGTCCCTAATAACCCCAATTCCTAAGGATTTTCACTCTACAACTGAGAACTGATGAAAGAAGTTGAAGACCATACAAGGAAGGACAGCCTCCTGTGTTCATGAACCGGGAAATGATATTCAGAATCCATATGACTCAAGGCAATTTGCAAATTCATTTTCTACAGGCAAGCTACACAAAGAGAAAAGTGGTTAAAATAAGGTGTGTGTGTATCATTGAGTATTATTCAGACACAATGAAAAAATTCACTTGCAGAAAAATGGAATTGGAGTATACCGTGCTAAATGAGACAAAGCAAGCAAGAATCTGATTTGCTTCATGGGTAGATTAGGTTAAGATGAGAGAAGAAAACTGTCTCGGACTGAGAAGGGGCGAGGAGAGAGGGTGAAAGAGTAGATGGACATGATATGGAAATACCAGTGAATCCTGTTCATTTGTACCATTACTATTTGTTAATGACAAACAGCATTTGCTCCCTTTGACCTGGTGTTTGTACCTTCAAGAATTTTCCTAACTATTTCGTATTGATAAATGCTCCTATTCAAAGGTATTTTAGAAATGCTGATTTTCATAAGATTTGAAAGTACTTCTAGGTATGCAGTGTTAAGGTTGTCTGTTACACCATACTGCATATATTTAATAACCTTGGAAAATGCTCTTTATTTTATTTAAAACAGTATAGAATTCAGAATCTATTTTGTTATTAAAGATGTATATGCTTGGGGGGAAAAAAGCAATGTTTAAGTTAATGTGTAACATGATAATATGTAACTTTTTGTTTTGTTACATATTCCAGATACTATGTTTTAAAACAATGGAACTTATAATGAGAAAAATACTACATTTTAAAAGATATGAGAAGCCAGGTATCATGGTGAATGGCAGTATTAACAGCACTTGAACTGAAGTGAGACATTCTCATGTTTTAAACCAATCTTGCTTATTTTGAAGACCCTGTCTCAAATAAATAAATAAGCAAACTAAAACAATTATAAGGTTAGGATTTGTCCACTGTAGAAGAAAGAGCACTATTAAGGACATACTGAATTCTCAAGATACCTTTTTTAAAGCCAAGTAAAGATATTGACTTCAGGCAGTCTGTCAACTTTAGTCTCTATAAAGATGGGGGAAAGATTAGTTGATCTCACAGTTGGCTCTGAATCCAGTTTGAGAAATTACTTAATATTCTTTTTCAGTAGAGAAGATGCTCATAGATAATACTAAATGCTCAATTCAGTATAATAAATTACTTTTATTAATATGGTTTATAGGATTCAAATTAACTTCCTGTTGGATCTTGTGCCTGCTGTGTTACAGATTGCTACTGAAGCAATAGAAAACTTCCGCACTGTCGTCTCTCTGACCCGGGAGCAGAAGTTTGAAAATATGTATGCACAGAGCCTGCAGATACCATACAGGTAAGGAGCCCTGAAGACTAGCCAGGGCTCTGAGGAGATTTCCAAGCAGGACTGCAGCTTTCAGGATTGCTTTTGCGAGAAGGCAGATGAAGAAAGTGCTAGAACCAACACCTGAGATTATCAAGAGATGACTATAGAGATGTGGGCCTAGTCAGAGGCATCTGTGAACCAGTGAAGGCTCGTGACCCATGGAGGGAGGGAAGAGGACAGCTGGTGTCCAGTTGGGATAATGACCCACTGAATAGTGTGTATTTGGGGTGAAGGTTTTCTATGGAACATGAAGTCAGAGGTGTTGTAGGACACAAAGGGGTCTCCTAGGGATATTTTCTGTTCCTTTCTTTCCTGGGGAGACCTTCTCTTCTCCCTTTACCCCAGCAGTATACATACGGCTCTAAAAGTGACCAGGACATGAGCAAGGCCAATCCTGGAGTCTCAGCTTCTCCTCTAGGACAAGGCAAGAACTGGGCCTTATTATTTCCAACCACCTTTGTCATAGTCATGGCAGGCCCTCTTTTTTTCTGGAAACATTTCCATTTGAAATCTCTGGAAGCAAAGACATGAACAAAGTTGGTGGGTTTAAACCAGAGTTGGAAGGTCAAAGGGCTGCCCATCCCCACCCTGTTCCTGCCCACACCTCCACTCTCTAGATCTTTGATGGTCAGAAATTCTTGAAATGTTAATCCTTTGTAAAGCCTTCCCAGGCTCCAGACAGTTAAGGGCTTTTTCTTCCCATAGCACATTTCCCTGAATTCCCTCCACTGCGCTGATACTCTGCAACTCATCTTGAGGCCCACATGCAAAGACAGGCCTGCACCCTGTCATCCACAGCTTGAGTGTTGGGTAGATGTGTTGGGAGGTGTCCTATTCTTCTGGACCCCAGTGTTGTATGTCCCACAGTGGGGGAAAGGGAAGGACCATTCATTTGTTAATGTAAAGCAGGCTCTTCTCAGGACTCCAGGCCTAGTTATCTTACATCAGCCCACTGAGATGTAACAATCTCCTAAAGATGAAGACAGCACCGAGTCTCAGAGATGAGGCAGTTTCCTAAGTTCACACAGCTAAGCAGACGGGGATCAATTGAATTGATCTGAACTGACTGAGAAATGAGATGGAGCGGATGTGGGTTGTCTTCTTTCCAGAAATGCTTTGAAGAAAGCGCACGTCTTCGGGATCGCCTTCTCATTCACGCAGGCCATGATGTACTTCTCCTACGCTGCTTGTTTCCGGTTTGGCGCCTACCTGGTGGCGCGTGAACTCATGACTTTTGAGAATGTTATGTTGTAAGTACTGGATTCTTAAATAGGTAATTATATGAATATATTGCTTTTCTCCAGGCCTTTGAACCAAGGACATTTGCTGACACACCAGTCTTAGATTTAAAACCTTAGATGTCAAATCCATCTTCTAATTAGTGAGGGCCAGAGGGATCTTGTGAAAAGTGGCCATTTTTAAAAGATCCCACCTTGAAACTCTGTAGGAGGAAAAATTAACCGTCCATGTGTCTTATTTAGTTGTAGTTTAAAAAAATTTTCCTTTAGCATGTGTATTGAATCCCCAAAAGAGGAAGTGACTGATCCCAGTGTTCTGGACTACTCTCAGGCATCAGACCTGTTCCAGGCTCACTGTTTACTACGACATGTGACACGTGAAATGCGTATGGAGAAAGGCAGGGAAGGAGTTACCAACAAAGCAAAGGGCCTTTGAAGGGTATGTGATGGGTGAGGAAAATGAAAGTTTCCCCTGTTTTAAAAATAGTTTAGCAATAAACTTAATCAAACATGGTACCCATTAAAACAGGAGGTGTAGGCCAATTTAGAGGAAGTGTGTAGGCATAAACATTGACAACTAGGTTCTTTCTAGTCTGTGCTGTGATAGCCATGTCATAAAAGTAGGTGTGTGTGTCTTAGCAGCTGCATGATGTGATATGTAAGGAGATTTTTTCCCCCCATAGGCTTTGTGAAAATTTGATGCCATTCCCACAACCAGCTACTAAGTCTCAGAAATATGGAATTTAAAACATTGTTTTGTGCATAAGTCAGTTGTACTTGTTATATAAATTTTACGTGCCATACAATAGGTGTGGTTCAAGGAAGTTTATTAGAGACAGAGACAGCGGGAGAACATAGAAGAGAAAAGGGGGGATGAGGAGAGAGAGAAAGAAATTGAGAGAGCGCAAGGGAGAGTTGGGGGGCAGGGTGGCGGGCGGGTTATATTCTGTACACCTGGCGCAGCTGATGGCATAGGATCCAGGTGGTGACTCAGGACATTGGCAGGACCCTAAAGGCCCCTGAGGGCAGGCCAATTGAATTGCCAGTACACCAACCTAACATTCTTCCCTTTTTGTTTCATTAAAACTGAGGAATTTGGAAGGGGTGGATAGAGAGAGAGAAAGTGGGAAAGAGGGAGAGGAGAAGAGGGGAGAGGGAGAAGGGAAAGCAAGAGCTCAAAAGTGGCCAGGTTACATGCTGAGGAGGAGGAAAGCTTCTGCCCTGGAAAGTTTAGGGTAGAGGGTGGGGTTTGCCAGCCATGCCCAGCAGCAGGTAGGGACCCAACAGTACTGATCTGAGTTGGGCATAAAAGTTCTCATCAAACTTGACTTCTGTGTTACCGGATTGGGTAGTTGGTTGTGGGCAAAAGTCAGAGCTGTCCCTGTGTATGCTTCATCTTGCAGCAGCCTTGTAGTAGTGGGACGTAGAGTGGGGGGGGGAGGGGTGGTGGAAGAAGAGAGAGAATATATAAACGAACGAGCACACCAAGCATTACAAAACCTTCTGAGTCACAGACATCCTGCTCATGTTTGTTGACCGAATAAGTCACAAGGCAAACCCCAATTCAAAGGGTTGGGAACCACACTTTATCTTCTAAACAGAAGTATTTGCAAAGGTTGGAGAGAGATGAAAGGCTTGACTATTTTCTAACCATCCACACTGCTATGCATTTAAGGAAAAAGTGTCTTATCTAAAACCTTTAAAAAAATATTTGAGATAGTTCGTCCTGATAAATCTTATTGATGAAGTGATATGAGCTAATTCAAGACAAGTTAAAGTATATAAATTCAGGTTTATTGGGAGCAGCTTTGCCTCCATGCAGGGGGGGGGTTGGGCAGAGAGAGAGAGAAAGGAAAGCACATGCAGAGAGAGAAGAGAGAGAAACCACAGAAAGAAGGAAGAAGAGGAGAGGAGAACCAAAACTTCTGGATTATATAGTGAAGATCCTCTGGAGGGCGGTGAAGCCCTGGCCCTGGGCTGAGGAGTTCAGGGTAGAGGGCAAGGTATGCCAGCCACATCCTACAGCAGGACCCAGGGATGCTGGGAGAACCTGGAGGCCAGGTCCACTTTGGAATGTAAATATGCACCTCAGCGTCTTGTCTCCCTGTCTGAAACCCAGCACCTCCCAACTGTTTAATTTCTTGTTGCTCTCACTCTTTGTAAGTTACTCTTTGAATATACACTTTTTAAATATAAGTATCCATAAGGAACTCTTCAGGTAGTGAGTGCACCTTGTTCTTTGGATACCATAGTTACTTTTGCTGTTAACTGTGATAAAGTGTCCTGACAAAAGCAACTTGGAGAAAGAGTTACTCCAGACTCCCAGTCTGAGGGAGCACATTCCATCGTGACAGGGAAAGTATGTCAGCAGGAGTGCAGACAAGGCCAGCTGGTCACATTGCACCAGCCGTCAGGAGACAGAATGAACAGGAAGTTAGGACCGGATATAAAACTTCAAGGTCTGTCCCAGTAACCCACTTTCTCCTGCAAGGTTCCAGTTCCTAAAAGTAACACAACCTTCCCTGACAGAGCCACCAGTGGGGACCAAGTGTCCAAGTACATGAGCCTGAGGGTGGAGAACACATTTCATATTCAGTCACAACACTGAGCACTTTCCCATTCTTCCCTAAACCCCAAAGTAAGCCAATGACCAAGTAATGAATGACTTCCTTAATCATTGTCGTTCGGATAAGTACAAAGGATATTGACAAGATACTCAGTCACTAGCACTGTAATCAGGACAGAGAGCCCAGCACCCTGCTCTGTTTAGAAAATACTGATTAGAAAAGGGCTCATTTTTTTTTTTCTTTTCAACTCTAACCAAACTCTTGAACACATAAAGGGAAACAGAGCATTCTTATGAGAGTGTTTTGACAAAGAATGTGAGCAGTTTGTCACGGCTGCCAGACGCTGGTACGTGGCAAGGGACAAAGGTGGGAGACCTCAGGCATGGCCTCTGGGACCAGGGAGGCTGGAGTGGAGTGTTGTCTGGCCTGCCTGGGAAGGAGCAGGTGACAGCATTCTTCCATTCTTGCCTCAAGCCCACAGCCCTAGGTATAGTGATTCTAACCCACTCCAGGTACAGAGGAGGCCTTAGGAACCCTGGTGGCTTCTATCTCAAGGGTTCCCACTGACAGTAAAGCAGAGGACCCAAAGCCGACTAAGGACTGCAGGGAGCACCACTCTCTCTTCCTGAGAGAACTAGACCTTGGGAGAATTAGGCCAGCTCCTGGTTGCTGTCCTTCATCTTCTGGTATAGCTGAGGCATTACCAGTGGGGGAAGTGGGTGTGAGAGGTATCAGGCCTAGGCTGACTCAGGGAGGGACTATGGTGGTGTCGTCATAGCTCCTCTGTGTGATGTTTTTCTATCAGAGCAGTGGTCATGCAGCATTCTGCTCCTGGGTGTAGAATTGGCAGCTTGCTTCCACAGCAGCACATGGTTTTTGTTTGTTTGGTTTGGTTTTCAGGGTGTTTTCAGCTGTTGTCTTTGGTGCCATGGCAGCTGGGAATGCGAGTTCATTCGCTCCTGACTATGCAAAAGCCAAAGTAGCAGCATCACATATCATCAGGATCATTGAGAAAGTCCCTTCCATTGACAGCTACAGCACGGAAGGCCTAAAGCCTGTGAGTTTGTTCTTTCACTTATGTGACCTGCTAACCCCATGGTTAAAAGTAGTTGAAGAAGAAGCTTAATAAAATCTGTGCTTCTTGACATATATTGATTCTGATATAAAATTGCCCAGGCCTTGGGTTTTATTTCATTAAAACTGATGGACGGTAAAAGCCAGTACTTTCACACGGCAGTTACAGAGAGAGATAAGAATACTGTCCTCTTGGTAGGCCAAGTCTAGAGGAAAAGCTTTATTGCATTTGTGTTATGTGTTTGGATGGTGTTAACGCCTCCGTATAAATCCACGATTCTCTTTTTGAAAAGATTTTTAATTTTGTTTTTATTTGGTTATATATGTGTGTGGGAGGTGTTCTCTTGCTGTGATGCTCAGGTGGGGTCAGAGGGCAACTTTAAGAGTTGGATCCAGGGGTTGAACTCAGGTTGTCAGGCTCAGCAGCAAGGTTCCTACCTATGGAAGCATCTTGCTGGCCAAGGCATTGATTCTCTTAGAGTCTGTTTATTAAATCTTGGCTTTTTGAAGTGAAGTTCAACTTCATTTCAAAGTTCATAGCAGAATTTTACATTTGTTAGTAACCACCTGGCTGGGGTCTTTTTGCTCTCCATGGATAGAATCCATGAGCATGACGGTTAGAACGCTTTCATTCTCAGGAGTTCTAAGCCCTTGAGTGCCTATGCCATAGGGAGCTGAACTAGCAGGCTCTGAGCTTTGAGAACTGGGGAGCCTATTACCCCAGACTTTCAAAGCCAGAGACTATGGCTGCTAGGTGCTGTGGCAGAGATTTAGTGCTCTAGGCTTTTATTACAAACTGCCCTGGTAATTTGAAACTATTAAAATTCTCACTGACCATCAGCAGTGAGCAGTAGCCGCTGGCGGCACTTGCTAAATGTTACAGCTGTTGGGCAGGACTCCATGTTCGGTCCCTTAACTCCTACAGCAGTTAGCATTACAGGTCTTGAGCCTGGGGTCTCAGGACTTTGGTCCTTAAAGCTTCGCGGTTCTTCCAACAGCTGGAGCCTAGAGTCTGTATAGCTCTTCACAATCACGTCTCCCTCTGCTTCCCATCCACGTCATTCTCTACAACGCTTCAGTTACCCTTCACTGACATGGCAGCTATTGCTCCCCTGCTGGCTGCTGCCACTGCTGCCTCTTCGCTGTGTGGTCAGCTCAGTCCACTCTGTTGATGAGAAAGAGCAAAAGGAGCAAGCGAAGACCTATCTATCAAGACAAGTATATCAAGACTATATTGACACTAAATGCAGGTCTTCTGTTGAGCATTAGTGCTCTCCTGCTGTCTTGGGTGGAAATGCTTGCTGGAGACTTCCACAGCAAACTATTTAGAACAGCTCCAGATGGAAATCATGCCCCCTCCCCCCCATTGAAAGTGTGCTTTTTGCAGCAAGCAGCTGTAATTGCAATACCACTTTCTTCAGATACTCACGATGTGTTCAGTGCAGCCAAAACAGCATGAGGGCAGTTCCTGCAGCTCTCAAAGGAGTTGCTTAGCTGACAATCTTCTGCTCAAGGAAGCCAGATAATAAGAGAAGGACCTGTTGAATCGCCCATTTTTGAACTCCTTTAGTCCTTCATACAAAGGATTAAAAGGGTGTGTACGATAAAGACAGTGAGTACTCAGCACAGAGCCAAAGGTACTTGATAGTATTTAACAGTATTTAAGAGTATTTACTAGTATTTAGGAGTTGTTCCAGCACCCATGGAACAGTGAGTGGGCCCTTTTGGTCCCTCTTACCTGGCAGCTGGAGGTAGCTAGGGTCAGCTCTGCTCTATGCTTTCAATATTGCTGTAATTGAATTGACTGCTGCCATTCTCACTCTAGAATCAGTTAGAAGGAAATGTGAGATTTAATGGAGTCGTGTTCAACTATCCGACCCGACCCAACATCCCAGTGCTTCAGGGGCTGAGCCTGGAGGTGAAGAAGGGCCAGACGCTCGCCCTGGTGGGCAGCAGTGGCTGCGGGAAGAGCACAGTGGTCCAGCTGCTGGAGCGGTTCTACGACCCCCTGGCCGGGACAGTGGTGAGCACGCTTTCGGATTCAGATCATCTTAGTTTATCATCCAAGTGCCTGGAGATTATTAACTCTTGTGTATAAGCCATGTTGTTTTTCTTTTTGACGTCTTTAAGTAATAGCCCCACTGAGAAACATCCTATATCTATAGTTTGCTATCTAAACTGTACCATCCACCCCAGGCATCTTGTCCGTCATCAGTCTCCCTCTGTTTTCCTTCCCAAAGAGCCCACTTACCACCATCTGCCTTGTATGAGAAAGGCATCAAAACTTAAAGTAGGTTGAAAAATAGAAAAGGGGACTAGGCATTACAAGGAGATTCAAGCCAATTGCTAGGAAGAAAAGGATGTCAGTAAGAACAGGGGTGGTTTGGATAAGGTGAGGATGGAGAACGCATGGTGATGTAAGGTAGCAAATTAATGAAAGGTTTCCTACTCTCAGGAAACAGTTTGGCATATCTGAAGGATGGTTGGGAGGAAACACGGAGATTTAGGGAGTGTGGACCAGTTGACAGTGAATGAGGTAAGAGTAGCGGCAGGGTAGGAGACGCTTGAGGGCACACGCTCAGGAGGAGGAGTCTGGAGGCCTGACGAGAGTGCTCAGCAGCCAGGGTGCTCCCTGTTCCCTCAGAGGACTTGGGTTCGAGAGTGTTCAGCAGCCAGGGTGCTCACTGCTCCCTCAGAGGACCTGGGTTCAGTTCCAAGCACCCACATGGTAATTCCATTTCCAGGGGAATCTCTCTGTTTGACCTAGTGACCTATTTGTCCTCTGTGTGCACAGGGTGCACATATATTCACTGAGGCACATACACATAAATAAAAACCAATAAAGTAAAGATTTTTTTTTTTTTAGACCGGGTTTCTTTAAATAATCTTGGCTGTCCAAGAACTAGCTCTGTAGACCAGGCTGGCCTCAGAGCACAGAGATCCACCTGCCTCTGCCTCCCAAGTGCTGCGATTAAAGGCATGTGCAACCACTGCCTGGCTCAAATAAAATAAAATAAAAATTTTAAAGGAGGAATATGAAACATGTTTTGGCTGTGAATTTAAATGAATGTAGTAGGATATAGGAAAAAGGGTGCAAAGAAGCCGAACCTAGAGCGGGGAATTGTCGTTATGTATGCATTTAGGTTATCCATGTATTCAGAGCTGATAGCCATTGCAGAGATAAGAACAGTGACCCAAACACTGATGCCAGTCAGCTCCAAGGCATCCCGGCCGCCATAATGATGAAGGGGAATGGGGAGTTTTCGACCCGATACCCCTGGCTTTTTAAACATCCCTCACAGTAATTATTCAAGAACAATCATACTTTACTGAGCATGTTAGTTAGGGTTTTTATTGCTTTGAGGAAACACTGTGACCTAGAGAACAAGTTGAGGAGGAAAGGGTTTATTCAGCTTACACTTCCACAAGAGGTCAGGACAGGAACTTAAAACAGCACAGGATCCTGGAGGAAGGAGCTGATGCCAAGGCCGTGGAGGGGTGCCTGCTTACTGACTTGCTCCCTGTGGCTTGCTCAGCCTGCTTTTTGATCGCTACCCCAGGGATGACCACACCCACCATGGGCTGGGCCCCCCCCCACTGATCACTAATTGAGAAAATGCTTTACAGCTGGATCTCATGAGGCATCTCCTCAACTGAGGCTCCTTCCTCTCTGACGACTCTAGCTTGTATCAAGTTGAAACAAAACCAGCCAGTACACTCAGTTTATTCGATAAGTTAAAAATGTTTTGCATCTTTTTACTTTATTAAAAAGGTTTTTTTTTTAAGTTCTGATCTTATGCTTTAAGTTTTGTTGTTAAAATTTGAACATAGAACTCCAAAACAGCAGTTCTCAGCTTGTGGGTCGTAACCCCCTTGTGGGTCGCATATCAGATATTTACATTACAGTTCATAATAGCAGCAAAATTACAGTTATGACGTAGCAATGAGATAATTTTATGGTTACTGGTCACTACAACATGAGGAACTGAATTTAAAGAGTCACAGCATTAAGAAGGTTGAGAACCATTCTTCCAGAAGGTCTTCACTACATTCAAAGCAACTAAAGGAGATAGTGTCAACAACCAGAACTTTGAATAATATCCTCAGTAAGCTTTTATTATACAGCATGTTTAATGTGCAATTAAGAGGTTTACAATATGGTGACTTTAACTAAGAAGATGGGAAATATCCTTGCATACATTAGATTAAAGAAAGGAGGCCTGGAGCCAGATTTAATGGCTGAGTAGGATTTGTGTATTGCAGAGCCATGGAGCTGATATTCACGGCAAGAGGTAATGTGGGTTGTGCTTGGTTGTGCAGAGTAGCAAATAGGCCAGGGAAAGTGGTATCTAGCAGAAATAATAGTTCCCTAAATCTTCTGTCATATTTTAAGAAAGATGTTTAAATCTCAGAACATCTTATTATATTCACAAGAACTTCCTAGTAGGGGAAAAACACTCTCCTAAGGTAAGCAAGCCGTAAATCCACAGCTTCTCAGAGGAGGAAGTTGGAGACGAGAAAGAGAAAAAGCCATGCCAGGTGAGTTAAATCAGCAGAGAGGCCTGCCCCATGGCAGACCAGGAGCCAAAGGAGAGGTAGGCCACTGTATAGAAAGAGTGAAAAATCCCAAAGTAGCAGAGAGAGCATACTTAGATTCCGTCTAGTGTTTGAAAAACAATTGTAAGTGAAGAAAAAGTGAAATTTATACATTTTCCAGTCAAAAACGGTAGCCCTGAAGCAACTGCACCAAGGGCAGAGATTCTGGGGGGGGGGGGAATATATTATCAATAAAGGGATAATTATTCCCCCTCCCCCATCTTTTTTAGCATGGCTTAATGTGAACCCAGCTTTCTTAGGGGTGGTCTCTTGGCCAGGTGATTTCCTAAGGGAGGAAACAATGGCATGTCCCCATGCAGAGGTGGATTCCATTCTTTACTGTAACTTTAGTAAATGGTAAAATTATTCCATAAGAAAAGCATTAGGAATGACGATGATCCTATAAAGACATCAGCATTTTCGGGGCATAATCTAAAACATAGAGGCATTTCAGTTCCATCTAGGAAACAGAAGCCTCTCTCAAATATTTCAAGAAAATGAGATTTAATGGAAGGAGTTAAGTGCTTACTCCTCGCAGGAGCTAGATGAATAAACTGCCCTTGGGAATCAGGTCTCAACAGTACAGCTTCGGTCTGGGACCAGGAAGTGGCAGGAAATTTTGTCAATGTTATACCTGTTCCTCATCTACAAGACCAAGCTTGTTCTTGATGTTGGAGGAATTCCCATCTTCCATAACAACGCAAGCCTCCCAGATTTTACACAATAGCTTGCACAGGTAGAATCAGGCTTGTTTCCAGAAACAGGGAAGTCAAAGGAGGGGTTTTGAGCCCTTTCACTTGTTTCTTGTCTTGTCTTGTCTTGTCTTGTCTTAAAACTTATTGATTAACATATTTCATGTATATGGGTGCTCTGTATGTATGTACATCGGCACACCAGAAGAGGGCATCAGGCACTTGTGAGCCGCCATGTGGTTGCTGGGAGTTGAACTCAGGACCTTTGGAAGAACAGCGAGTGCTCTTAACCACTGAGCCATCTCTCCAGATCCCCCCTGTTTGTTTGCTAATATGTAAAGATAGACACAAAACAACATGAAAGTGGAGACTGATTAAATAGTACAGTAATGTCTCAAGACAACACTAGCCAAGTGCGCTGAGGCTCATGTGTTCTCGTTCATCATAGGAATATTTGTTATCTTCTGTGAATTGTACTAGAGCCTTAAAATGCCCTCACATGGTTCACAGCAGCCAGCCTCCCTGCGGAAGTGTACATGTGGGATTTATTAGAATGGTTTACAGGCGGGAGTCCAGCCAGTCTAACGATGGTTGTTACGCAGCAGAAAGTCTGAGAATCCAATACTTGTTCAGTCCACAAGGCTGGTGTCTCAGCTGGTCCTCAGTACATGTTGTCGGAATCCTGAAGAAGTAGGCTCTAACTCCAGTGAGAGAGATTTCAAGCATGCAAAGAGCGAAAGCTTCCTTCTTCCGTGTTCCTTATATAGGCTGCCACCAGAAGGTGTGGCTCAGACTAAAGGTGGACCACCCCATCTCAAAAGATCTGCATTCAAAGTTAGTCTTCCCACTTCAAATGATTTAGTTAAGAGAAACCTTTCATAGGGGCACAGCACTCGGGTTTTAGTTAATTCCTTATGGTCAAGTTGACAACCGAGAATAGCCATGACGATGGGCCTGTGCATGTGTGAGTCCAGAAGAGGGCGTCAGCTCCCCTGGAGCTGCAGCTACAGCTCGTTGTGAGCCACCTGATACGTGTGCTGGCTACTGAGACTGCTGGCCTCTGCAAGGGTAGCTCGTGCTCTTAACCACTGAGACACTCCTCCAACCCTATATGCGCTGTCTTTAAAGAAAACATACCGTAGAGTTTAAAGTTGGATACAAAAGTGAATATTTAAATACACCTCCATAGCCTTGACCTTTTGTTTTAGATTTGTTTTACATTAATTGTGTGTGTGTGTGTGTGTGCATCTGTGTGAGTATTTGCACACACTGGGGGAGGGGCCTGTGGATGCCTGTGTACACAGAGGCCAGAAGATCCCACGAAGCTGGAGTTAAAGGAGTGTGTGAAACTCCTGGCCTGTTACGTAGCTGCTGGGATCCGAACTCTAGTCTTCATGACTGAGCAGCGAGAGCTAAGCCATCTCTCCAGTCCTTCTTTCTTAAAAATTTTGAGACAAGGTCTCATATATTCCCCAGTGGCTCTGGGGAACCTAAAACTCATGATCCTCCTGTCTCCACCTAAAGAGCGCTGAGAATACAGGCTGAGAATTCAGGCATATACCACGGCACTTGCTTTCTGTCGTGCAGGCTAAGCAGGCCCTCTACCCACTTTCCACCATCCCGGCCCCCCCTGAAAGCATGTTTACTGAAGTGCTATTCGCAGCAGCCCAGTTATGAAGGGAGTCTAGATGTCTATCAGCAGATGATCTGAAAAAGAACAACCTGGACTTTGTATACAATGGAATATTACTCAGGTATAAAGAATGAAATCATGTCATTTGTAGGGAAAGGGTGGAGTGGAGAGTGTTAAATTGTATAAACTGGATTTTCTCTTGTATGTAGAAGTTAGGTTTAATATAAAAAGATAACATCAAAGTAGAAAGAAGATGGACTTCTAGGGAAGAGGAAGATTAATGCATTCATAAAAGCAAAAAAAAATACTAATAAAAAAATCTGAATAGTGAAGTCTTAGATTTTGGACTCTTCCTCAGCAACTGACTTACGAGGGAGAGCTTTCTGATTGCAGCCTGCCCAACCTCCTTCCCTCCCACCCAGAATCCTATCCAAGTCCCAGAATTCCCGAGTTTGCTCCTGGCCTTGCCTTTCTACCCTCTCCAGTCTGTTCCCATGTACCATGGCAGGGGTCTTTTGTCTCCTTTAGAGAGAGGTCACAGTGAAGATAAGCAAAAGAGTGAGTGCACTGTGCTTATCACAGAATGTATCCCATGTGCCAGAGTTGGTGTTTTTACTTTCTTTCAGAGCACATACATGCGCACACACATGTAGCATTTAATGACTGCACCACTGAACAGTAGCTGTAATGGGCTCTAACAGAAAGAGCTAATCATTGGGATTGGCCTTACATTATTCCCTAAACAAGTTTTACTTTGCTAGAAAGGCCTTCACTTGGCCTTGGATCTTGTGAGCAATTTTCACCAATTCCTGTGTGGTCTTCTGTGGCGTGCCTCTACCACAGAAGCTGTGCTTGAATCTATTTATTTTCTGGGCTTCCAAACATGTGTTTCTTAGAGGAAGGATTCTTTGGACAATATGGGTTTAAATAGTTCCCAAACCTTGTGTGTTTTACAGTTATAATTAGGACCAAGAGTGTTATTGTTTTTGGAGAAATTTACAAATTCCTTAAGACTTCCTGGGACCATTCAGACCTGCCGGTGATTCTGTGAGATAATAGGTGTTTTGCTTCCAGGGACATAGAAATAGAATGAATTCATTTCAAGCTTATTTCTTCAAGTTTCCATTTGTAAAATACATTCTTCCCTCATTCTAACAAGATCATATAGCTGTGCTCTTTTTTTTTTTTTTTAAGAGAGTACAGATGCCATTGCATTTATCAAAGGCATGCTACAATGCTATACTTGTTAGGAAAAGAAACTGAAATTCCAAGTAACAGCTTTCAAATATACAACCTGAAGGGAAATGGAGTCAGTATTGTGGTGTACAGAGGCTTGAATTAACCAGGCACTACACAGTTAGAAAATATGGGTTTTAGTATTTTCTCCCATTAGCATTTATAACATAATTCACTTAGACAATCACAGAATCCTTTTCTTCCAGTACCACAAACTGCATTGCACATAAAATCTGATACTGCTCCTTATCAAAATATATAAGACAATTGCTGTTTTATATAAAACCACTTCTTTATATGTTAACTTGTTCCAGAAACCCCCCCCCCTTTTTTTTCCTTTTTGGCTGGCTTAAAAAAAAAACATTGTTACAAATATTTACAGCATCTTCTTCTGTTAGATGAACATTCTTACAGAAAGAGAGAATTTTATGAACAGACCACGTAAAACGCTAGACAATGTTAGAGGCTTCTAGCTGTGCTCTGCTATGGATCCCTTGCTTGTGTGTTTGTTTTGAGATAGAGTTTTGCTACATAGTCCAAAGTGGCCTAGAACTTGGCATGTAGCTGAGGATGGCTTTACTTTCTGGTGTTCTGCCTCAGCTGCCTTAGTAGGCTCGCACCACCAAGCCTGCCACGTGCTTTTTACTGCTTCTTTCCACCCTTTACTTTCCACTTGGACTTATTAAAATGTTTAGAAAGCCAGGAAAGCAGATGCACAGAATAGTTCCCGCGGCAACTGGGGTTGGTACCAGCAAGGTAATGGTACGCCTTCTATCCATGTAGCTATGCCAGTTTCACAAGTACAAATGCATTCCTGTGGCAAAGATCTACCCTAGTCACGGAGCCTTCCTCCATCCCCGAAGCTAGCGGTATCTGGTCAAGTCTTTTCATGTCACATGTCACATATTGGAATAGCCTTCCTCTGTCCCCTTTTCCACAGTTAGGAACCTCAGGAATATATTGGCTCTACGGAGATAATTGGGACAATCCGTATTTTAGAGTTAGCTCATTAGTAGCTTTGATTCAATGTGCTACTTTAATGCCTCTGACAAAATACAGTCACAGTTTCAAGGGATTGGGACGTGGCTGTTTTTGGAAGGAAGGCCAATTTTCTGTTTAGTACTGCATAAGTCAAAAGTCATGGTTAAAAAAAACGAGAAACGGGTATTTCCCCAAAGTGTATAGTTATGGTATTCCTGAACAAACCTTAAGAATCCAAAGTAATCCAAGCAAAGCATCGTTCATCTCATGGCAACCCCTTGGTCTTAAAGTATGAGATAATGGTGGTGATTTGCTAAATCTGAATCATGCTATCCTGAAGTTGATCTGTGATCCCTTGCTCCTAGTTTCTAGACGGCAAAGAAATAAACCAACTCAATGTCCAGTGGCTCCGAGCTCAACTGGGCATTGTGTCCCAAGAGCCCATCCTGTTTGACTGCAGCATCGCCGAGAACATCGCCTATGGAGACAACAGCCGGGTCGTGTCCCAGGATGAGATTGTGAGGGCGGCCAAAGAGGCCAACATCCACCAGTTCATTGATTCACTGCCTGACGTATGTCTCTCTCCAAATTATGATTACCAAAGGAAATTTAGCAGCCAAAACATGTACATGTACATACAGATCTGACCACATTTCCCTTGCCTGTCAGATGTTAAGTTTACCTGGTCCTGTGAGTCCTTCTGAGGAAGAATCAAGGCGGTTCATCCATTTAGGAACTGTCCAGGAGGAGGCGGTATAGACCTTCAGCTTCTGGGCTGGAGACCAAACCCTGTCAGGCGCATAGTCTCCTTCCTCCCAGTCTGAGTGAAGAGCCAGGAGTCCGTATCTTGTCTCCTGATTCTGCCCAAGAAGCATGTCCGCACATGCCATTTCTGTTTCGTCCATCAGTTTCTAGTTCTTTTACGAACTTCTAGCCTCGTTCTGGAGTTAGATCAGGCTGAGAGCTGGACCCAGGCCAGAAGGAAGGCTCTCTAATTAGGTCTGAGTCATTGAGTAGACCATGGTATTATACAGTTTCTTACCATTGTGAGGTCCACGGGCCCCAGGCTATACTTAGGAAGTTGGTTATTAAAATGTTCCCTAGGGCTATTGTCCTGTGGACTGCCTCAGATGTTCTCTAGTAAGGTAGATAAACTGACCCACTAGCTCTATCTCAAGCCCTTTTGTTATTTTTATTTTATGTGTATAGCATTTTACCTACATGTATGCCTATACACCACATTCAAGCTTGGTGTCCACAGAAGCCAGAAGAGGGCATCAGATATTGTGGGCCTGGAGATACAGACGGTTGTGAGCTACCATGTATATGCTGGAAATTGACATGGATACCCTACAAGAACCGTCCAGGACTTTAACCACTGAACCATCTCTCCAGCAAATAATGTCCATTATAACTAGCTAAGTTACTTACTACAGGAAATGCCCTTTATAAAATAAGATTTAATAGCCTCAAACCAGCCAGGAAGGCAAAGGCCACGTGGGCAGGGATGGGGAGATAAAGTGGTCCTAACTCCTCCCAAGTTATCTCTTGTCATGTGACCCTTCCACACATGACTGCTCCTCCTGAACACACGACCTGACAGAGGTCTTCTCTCCTCAGTGTGGTGCAATTGTGGCTGATTGACTTTTGGGACTGAAATACTCAAAGCACAAGCCTACAGACCCCTTTACTAACGAGGTTCGTGGTTGTCAGAGCCTGAATTAGAAGTTGTTAGAAATGCAGATTTTCCAGTCCCTGTATTAGCTCTTCTGAGTGGAGACAAAACACCTGTCAGTCAAGGCCAGCACACAGGTGACAGTGATACAGAATAGAAGTCACAGCAGAGTAACTGTCATCTCCCACGGGACCTGCTTTTCCTGACTTCTAATCTCTCGCTCTGTCATTAAGCCCCGTTCTCTGAGCATCTGTTTTTGGGGAGTCCTAGACTCCATCTCAAGCTGCCACAGCGTGTGTCCTTCCTCTTCCTACACAGTTAACAGTGTCCTCTTCTCTGGTCACTGATCGGTGTGGCCTGGTAGCCCTGTACTCACCTTGGGCAGGATATGTCAGAGGGCTGGATTGTGGGCCAACAGGGGCTCAGGAGCCTCTTCCAAGCATCTCTCCATCCTCGCCAGAGCCCTTCTTTTCCACAAATGCAGGCTTGTTCTGCCCACCATAGAACTGGGGTTGCCTAACAAAATAAATAAAAATGGCACTGTTATATAGAACGTGGATTTTACGGTCAAAGTCACAAGAATCAGAGCTGTGTGTGTGACTGGTTCTAACCTGCCATAGGCCTACAAATAATAAGGCAGTATGACTTCCCATTACGCATGCCGTCACACTCTGTCCGGCTTTCTGATGTTGCTCCACCTTCTAGTCATGTCTTTGTCACTGTATAAAATAATTTGTGACAGTTCCCTGCTGTTAAGTTCGATAGGGAAATGGTTTTGAAAAACTCTAGACTTGGGTAAAGAAGGATCTGTTTGAAGCTTGGTGGGATTCCTTGACACATTAAAATCATTTAAATGTTAGAGATAATTTCATCAAAACCACAAAGGTCTCTAATATCCTGTGTATTTCTTTGCCTGTTTTAAGATCACGTAGAGGGTGTCACCTGCTGGTGAGATGTTTCTGCTGTTGTGAGCAGCTGTTCAAATCATTTCCTTTCTCCTGCCAATCTTTGTTAGGGACACAATGAAACCAGGAGACAGAAGATAATGGAATTGCCATATTCTTGAGCAGAGAAAGTTGGGCTTGTTTACATGAAAGCATCTAATTTTGCAGCTCAAATATCTGTTTTCAAAAAAGAACAATTAAACCTACCAATTAGAGCTTTCCCCTGATTTGTTTAGCTTTCTGTGGACCTATTTTAAGCCTCTGGAAGTAAATGTATCTAATTACCTATTTACTGTGATCAAACTGTGTTTGCACTCTGCCATCTGCTCTATTTTCATAACAACCAAATGCTGTTCACAGAAATACAACACTAGAGTAGGAGACAAAGGGACTCAGCTGTCGGGTGGGCAGAAGCAGCGAATCGCCATCGCACGTGCCCTTGTCAGGCAGCCTCATATTTTGCTTCTGGATGAAGCAACATCAGCTCTGGATACAGAAAGCGAAAAGGTAAGGATTGAAGTTGGGTTCTAAGTTGGGTTCTTTCTCTGCCTTAGTAGAGAACACTGCTCCAGCTAGCTGATGGTTGCTGATGTTGGCACCCAGTGGAGTTTAACCGTGTCTGCAGCTGGAACTTAGGAGGCCTTGAATGATAAGAGACAGGTTAGTCATGGCCCCTTGTGGGCCATGGTGCTCTGCCTACAGGCTGCATGCTGGCAGCAGTCTGCTTCTGCCAGCTACATCTCTGGAGCATCCCATGGAGAGCGGAGGGTGAGACGAGGCTGGAGTCTGGCAGTGCCCTAAGACAGCTGCTGCTGCTGCCACCTTCCAGCTCGAGAAAGGCTGACAGTTCAGCTCTCTGAAAGGCAGATGGTCACGAGGTTTTTACCTGCTATGTCTTTGGCTGCTCCAGCTTCCTGAATGTGCTGTGGAGCTGAGGCCTGCCCTTACGGATATTGTGGGCAAGGCACAGGACTGTTTTTAAAGGGGGATGGACTCTATTTACTGCTTTTACTTTAAAATTAGATATTTCCCACCTCAGAACTAATCTAAAGGAATTTTTTTTTTCTGTTGTGGTAAATCCTTCAGTCTCTAAACTTAATGCTACAGTTCACTTATACTACTGTTTTTTGGTTTTGTTTTTGACAGTTTAATTTTTTATCACACAAAATAATGGATTTTGTTAAATTTTATACATTTTTATTATTTATCTTTGCCCATATTTATGCCCTGACTACCTTCCTCCATTCATCATCTCATCAAATAGTTCCCTTTCTACTTTCATACTAGAATATATAAATAAAATATATAGTTGTTAAACCTAGAAAGAAAACATGCAATAGTTTGTCTTTCTTACACCTCATTGATTTCTCCTTGGCTCTTTATAACCACTACCTAATCTCACTCCTACTTTTCTATCCTATAAACATTTAAATATAAATTCTGCGTATGAGAAAAATATATGACATTGGCCTTTCTGAGTCTGGCTTAATTCTTTTGACATGATATTGCCAATTCTACTTACCTTCAATTGAACCATTTAATTCCTTCTTATGGCCAAGTAAAACTCCATTGTATATGTCACATTTTCTTTTATTCAGTCATCTGTTTGTGGCCATCTATGATGGGTCCATAAGGTGGCTGTTAGAAATAGTGTATAAACACAGATATGCAAATGTCTCTGGTACTGTGACTTAGAACCTTCAGGTACATACCCAGGTGCAGGTAGAGCTGATGATATGTTTCTACCTTTGTTTTGAGGATCTTCTACACTAATTTCCATAGTGAATGTTCCAGTTCTCATCCCCACCAGCAGTACGTAAGGGTCTCCATCCTCCTCACTCCCGCCAGCACATGTTGTCCTTTGTTACCTTGGTGTCAGTCATTCCGATTGAATCGGCGTATTTTTATTTTCTGACAACACAGTTGAAGAAGGACATAGAGAAATTCTGGATCTAACTATGGAGGGAGAGTTGTAGGGAGAGGACTGTTTTCATCATTAATTCTGTGGTGCGATTGTGGAACAGGTTGTCCAGGAAGCCCTGGACAAAGCCAGGGAAGGCCGCACCTGCATTGTGATTGCGCACCGCCTGTCCACCATCCAGAACGCAGACCTGATCTTGGTGATTGAGAACGGCAAGGTCAAGGAGCATGGCACCCACCAGCAGCTGCTGGCACAGAAAGGCATCTATTTCACAATGGTCCAGGCTAGAGCAAAACATTTGTGACTGTTTGAGGTGCTAAATATTTTTAATATTGGTGTTTAAATATGGCTCTAAACCAAAGTTAAATGGTGAGCACTGTTAAAGGCAATTTCATCAAGATAAGACAGCCTTCAGAGACCTCATAATTAAATGAACTAAAATGGGAAAAATCATCATTAAATAGGGGCAGTGTTTTTAATTGCATTATGTGATTCATAAGAGAAAAAATTTAATAGAATGTGTAATTTTGTCTTAATTTTTAATTTCAACCCTACTTTGTTAAATAATTGTAAAGGCTGTAAAAAGCACTGAACTATTCCATAAGTGCCTATAAAAACTAAATTTTTTATATAATTGGAGTCATCTTGTCTGTCGTATCTGTGACTTTATATGTTCTTTCAAATAGGATGTTGTAAATAATTTCAGCCTTTAGAAAAGTGGATTTTAAGAACCTCTCTTTTCAGTGGGATGGTTAAGTAACTTCAGGGATTTCCATTTGGGATATCTTTTCACATGGAGCCTCACAATGCTGTTACTGGCGCCTCTCAAACCCAGCACACAGAAGTCAGCAGTTGTGGGAAGTGGAGTAAGGTATAGTTGTGAGGTATGCATTGTTCAAACGAGCTCTTAAATGAGTCCAATACTTTTATAATTTTATAAGTTTAGTTACTCTTTGAAAACACTCTTTCCAGTAATTTGGTTTCTTCCAAAGCTGACCTTCCTGACCAGAGATGTTTAAAATGTGCCATGATTTTCAATCCATCATGATACAAACATGCAAGAGAGCATCACAGAAAGCTTAACCCTAAAACCAAAAATACAAGTGAGAATCACAAGCTCTGGGTCCATATTTACTATAGGAAATTATTATCTTCAATATATAAAGCGCTCATAAAAAGAAAGGAATCTATGAGCGAATGATATGATTAAGTCATTCCCAACAAGAAATGCTTGGCAAAAAATGTGTACAATTCCAGTAATTTTAAGAAGTTTGAGTTAAACCTGATCTACAGAGCAAGTCCCAGGATAGCCAGAGCTTGCTACACAGAGAAACCCTGTCTGACAAAACAAGCAAGCAAACAAACAAACAAAAAAGCAGACTTGCTTAGTAACTTCCTGATAAATAGAAGGTATCTTTACTGTGACAAAACTTAATATTAACAACAAATTTACAAACTTAAATATTAACAACGTACAAGTGTTTTTAATAAGCATATGCTTCAATATAGCAATGTCAATTCTTGAAATTTAGTTAAAAGACATAAAATGATGCTGCTGAACCACTACCTGTAATAGTGAAAATTGTGTAGCTTTACTATATAAAGTTTAACTTTAACAGTGATTGAGCATTACACACACTTGCAGTTCTAGAGGCCAAGGCAGGGGGATCATGGGTTTGAGGCCACCTCAAGTTTTAAGCCAGTCTGGGATATAATAAGACCCTGCCTCAAAGAAAATCAGAAAACTGTTGAGGAATTTTAGTTCAGCAACATGGCTATTCTGGCAAAGGATCCCATTCAAAGACCTAGGTCTGTGTGATCTGGCTAGAGTACTCACCCTTATCCCTCTGGCTGTAACATAAACACGACATACCTTTCGTTCCAAACAATAATGTCTAATTGAGGGGCAGACAGAGTGATGAACCAGAAAAATATTTGACAGAATAGAATATGCCCAGCTGTCAAGAGAACAGACAGGAAAGAGGAGCTACTTAAGAGCTACACAGAGAGAGTGAGCAGGAAAGTTCACGGACACAGTACAGTAGAATTTGGCAGTACATTACAGTTTGGTGCAGTTGAGTTTGTGCAGTTCATGAAGTTCAAAGGCAGTTTTTCCAAGCAGAGCAATTCAGGAAAAAGCAGGGAGAGGTCAGTTTGAATCAGTGAGTTTGGAGAGGAGTTTGAGCCAGAACAACTGAGTTGAACCAGCCAGCCAGAGTTCAGAAAGAACTAGAAAGGATGAACTTATTTAGCAGTGAGTCTCAGAGGCTGAAAACATTCTAGGCCTAGGTTAACAAACTGAGGCTGGAAGCCAAATCCTTTAAGGTCTGGGCTTGCAGAAGATTGGATTGTACAGAGGGTAGAGGTTTCCAGGCCTAGGCCTAGAGAAATATTTAGCTAATAACTCATTGGGCTCAACCCAAGCCATGTATTCATAAAGCTTGGGTACAACTCTCATCCCATCCCATCTGAGGAAATAAAAACAACATTTATAGGAAACAAATCTATTTATCTTAACGTAACAGACTTCTTTAATAGAAAAATAAAAAGAATTAAATTTTCATTGCAGTTGCAAATTGGAATAGCTATGTAATCGTTCACAAAGCTAGATGGGAGAGCAGGCAAGAGAGCCAGATGGGTACCTAGAATGTATCCCATCTCTACAGGGAATCAGAGTAGCAAATAAATAACTACATTTTGGGGTGAGTGGTGCTTGTCACAGTGAAGATGACAGTAAGGGAGAACCAGGAGCCAGCACAACATAGACCTAGGACAGAGAGGCCCATGGAGTAAGAGAAACATATGTGTTCCTTGTTCTCCAGCTGAGGCCCCACACCAGGGAAGTGGGTGAGTAGGAGAGTCACAGAGACCCTGCAGCTGTAGACAGCAGCAACTTCCCGAAGGTCTGGAGGGACAGGTTTGTAGTCCAGGGAGGGACAGGTTTGTAGTCCAGTTCAGAAAGCTTCGCGGAGTCTGCTTTGTGGTTACTCTGGCAGTGGCAGTGGGAGCGGGGAGGGGGGGAGCTTGCATTGTTTTGTTAGCTGAGGAAGGACTAATAGAAGAGTCCCCCCCCACACACACCACACACACAAGATGTGAGGAATAATAAGTGGTTCTCACCACCAGCTCGGGACTCCCAGAGCAAGATAAACGAATACTTGGTGAAGACTGACAAAACAAGACAAAGAGCAATAGGTGGCCGGGGTTGAGCAACTTCGGGAATCTGCATCAGCGGAGCATTGCGCACAGTGCTTGTTACCCTTACCGTAGTGAATTTTTTTCAGCTTTAGGGGTGTTTAAATCCCTATGCATCTTATATATTAATTTTTAACATACTGGATTCTGAGTAAAGTGGGCTTCCAAGGGCAAAAGGAAGGAACAGCAAGAAGAAGAGAGATGTAAGCCTGACAGGATCAAGGCCATTGCTGTTCAGTTGAGCCCACTCATCCTTTTAATTAATTAATTAATTAATTAATTAATTAATTAATTAATTTTTACATACCAACTGTAACCTTCTTCCTTCTCTCCTCCTGGTCCCACTCTCCATCCCCCTTACCCTTATTCCCCCTCCTCTATCCCTCAGAAAAGGGGATCCCCCGAACAAGCCACCCCAGGACATCATGTCACATCAGGACTGAGCGCATCTTCTTCCTTGGCGGCCTGGCAAGGCAGCCCTGCCAGGGGGATGTGATCACAAAGCATATAGCAAGAATCCTTGTCAAAGACAGCCCTGGCTCCTCTTACTAGGAAACCCACATGAAGATCAAGCTGCCCATCGTGAACATCTGTGTAGGGGGCCTAGGTCCAGTCTGTGCATGGTCCTTAGTAGGGGCTTCAGTCTCCACAAGTGCCCCCTGAGCCCAGGTTAGTTGAGCCCACTCTTTTTAAGGAGTGTGTTTCTGCATTTTACAGTATGTGAAGATAAAGGAAAGTGGGACAGTTACAGAAAGTCTACCAGATAAAACAATAACTGAAATTTCTCTTCTCTTGGATACATAACCAGGAGCACTGTAGGTCCCCAAGTAGACAGGCTAAGAAGAGATCCAGCCTGAAGTTTATTGGTCAAACTGTCAGAAGTGTAGGGTACAAAAGGTGGTGCCAGGGAAAGGACTGAAGCCGCATCTAAGGGTTAAGCCAAGCCCTGCCCCATCACCTGGTGAATTATTGTAGGCCAAGATGGCATGGAATTAAAAAATAGAGACCTAAGACAAGCCAGTTCACAGACAGTCCATCTCCTCTAGACAGGCCTTACAAAATACGCCAGAGACAAAATGCCTGGGAACTACTTAAACCAGATAAGATGGCACACATCTGAAACTCCAGCTTTCAGAAGGCAGAGGCAGGAGAATCATGAATTCCTGACCACTGTGGGCTACACAGTGAGATCTTGTCTCAGTGAGAGAGGAAGAGAAGGGAGAAGGAAAGAGAAAGATTAAACATTTTAAATTAACAAAATGACAGGTATTTCCTTTTTTATTGTCTCATACATCACATGGCCCATAAAGTCAACTAAGCAGGAATAATTTTATGTCACTTCTAACCTTGAATGTAAAAGGACTAAATTATCACAAGTAAAAGACACAAACCAGTTCAACAAAGAGGAAAAAAGTAGTGTTCCCCACAAGAAACTCACTTCATGTGTAGAGAAACAGAGACTACGTGAAAGGATGGGCAAAGATATTCTACACAAATGATCACCGAAAGCACCCAGGGCTAGTTACACTTGTATAAAGCAAACGTAAAGACAGAACTACAGGGGACAAGGAAGGTTGCTAGGTAACACTTCAAATGATGAGATATGACAACTTAAAATTATGTTGACCTATTGCAGTAATAGGAAGCAAATATTATTAGATATATAAAGAGAGATGACATCTAATAAATTATAATGAGAGACTTCAATATTCTATTTTGGTGGCCAAATCAGCCCACACCAAAAAGAAAAAGTGGCCAAGAATCTTTGGAGTTAGCTACACCATCCACCAGAAGAAACTGAAAGATGTTTACAGCACTGTTCATCAAATGGCTGCAAAATAAACTTTCAATCAGCACATGGAACATTTCTCAGAGTTTTTTTTTTTTTTTCTAAGACAGAGTTTCTCTGTGTAGTTTTGGCTGTCCTGAACTAACTTTGTAGACCAGGCTGGCCTCAGACTCACAGAGATCCTCCTACCTCTGCCCCCCTGAGTGCTGGAATTATAGGCGTGTGCCACCACACCCGGCTCAGAGTATTTCTTATAGCATGCTGTAAAACAAATCGCAATAAGCTTTGATGAAGTAAGAACAGTTATCTTTTCTGACCACAATGAAATACAACCGAGAGTCAACAAAGGAAACCTTTGAAAATAAAATTATATGGAGATCACACAATACTCTTTTGAATGAGAAAAAGATTTAAAAAAAAAAATTCAACCAAATAGGAATGGGCACATAACAATCCAAAACTTATTGTAGAAACAGAAGCAGTATTAAGGGGAAATGTGGAGGCCGTGGGTGCTGCTCAGTGGTGAAAGAACTCACCTAGGATGCTTGAGTCCCTGGTTTCAGTCCCAAACGCCGGAGAGGGGGAGAGAGGGAGAGAGGGAGAGAGGGAGGGCAGTAGCAATGAACACTATCCCACAATGCAACCTAACAGTGCACACACAAAACCTGGAAAAAAAAAAAAAGACATAGAACTAGTGAGTGAAGCAAAGACCAGAGAATAAGCAAGAGACAAAAAGAACTCAACTTCCCCCAAATACTATGTGTATATGTGTACAACTACCAGGTTCTCGGACTTTCTGTTGGGAGACAGCCATGTTGAATAAACTGGACCTCAGCCTGTAAGCCACTCTAGTAAGTCCCTTTTCTCTTTACATATATAGATTCATGCTGTAAGTTATGTTAATCTAGAGAACCCTGACTAATACAGGCCCTGAGGACACCCCCTAAATACAGGTGGTTCGAGTGTGTGCCATCTGTTGAGTTCATTCTCTTCTAGCCTGGGCATCTTGATTTCCCTTGCTCTGTCTCAAAAGTTGCCCCGTGATGCCCAACTCTCTGAACAATGATGGCCTCTATCTGAGCATCAGTAGCACCAGCATCTGGATTTCAGCCAATCCGTGCTTCAACCTGTTCTGATATACAAAGCGACCATTTGTCCTCAGATCCCAATAACAAGTCCTTTTTATAAAAGTCTATTTTTGCTTACTCAGCTCAGAACCCTGGTGCTTTTGGTTTGGAGACCTTTGGAGGGGAGGATCACTTTACAGTAGAGTGCTCCTGAGGTTGGCAAGCCTGCCCCCTGGGCATGCAGCAGGGGTTCAGTAAGTACCAAACTGCTCATTTGTATCTGCCCTTGTGTCAGTTTTTTCCAGAAATTAACCCAAAACATAGCAACAGGATTCTTACCTGA